AAGAAAAAGGTTGTACACGGCTATAGACCTACAGCTCAATTAAATAGAAAAATAAACTGACTTGTGTCTTGTCACTAAAATAATCGTTGTAACATTGTACGTAATAAAATATTTAAATATTAAATAACATTATTGGTCTCCTGTAACATTCCACATCCATCAGTTTTCCTTCGTTAAAGGCAAATCCGCTAGAGAAACGTTTCGTGAGATTAATGGTGTTTTATATTAGTCCTACCTGCGCTATCCGTATACGCGGGGTACTAATAAATGATGACAAGTGAAGATGAAACCAGATCAATCAGCTCATCGTAATGAATTCAAGAATTAACTATAATGGTTTTAAGGGGGGACCACATGGAGGTCGATCTAATAGAATAAATTGCTGCGAATGGGGCTGTTAGACACTATTAACAATCCCTCTACCCTTGGAGTCTATGACTTTTTTATGGATGATAATGGAATGGTTACCTTGCCTATATTATCGGTATGCGCTAGCAGGTCAACAGTGATAAATAATAGGTGAGGATGAAAACAGATAAATTAGCCCATCGTGATAAACTCCATAAGAATTTATCATCATGGTTTCCAGGGGGAACCGCGTGGAGGTCGATCTGACAGGATATATCCTATATTGCTAGCAATGGGGCTGTTAAGACCCCATTTGTAACAATCCCTTCCCCCAAGGACTCGATGATTAAGTTATTTGTAGTAAACGATAGGAGACAGATCAGAGGGAGACTTTGTACAAAAGTCGATTGCTTGGGTACCTCTGTTCCATTCGTGTTTCTACCGTGAAGCAGTTGTGTTTGCATGGCTGTGTTTCGGTTTGAAGGGTGGGATATGGCGTGAATTTACTGAGTACAGAGGAATAACACCTGAGTTCTCAGGAATGGCAACGCATAGGGGGTATCATGGGCGAAACAGAATACTCTGTTATGTCTATGGTACTGCTCATGTCTATAGGCGACGGTTACCACTTTCCATCAGGTGGGCCGTCAGCTTGTTTGCCATTCTAAGTTGTATAAAAAAAAACAATCATGCACGCAGTGTAAATGCTGTATAAGACGACCACCCACTAGAGGGAGGAGGGAAAGGGATTGTTAGAAATGCGGACTACCAGTGTTATTACTAGCAATATATCCTGTCAAGTGGATCTCAACATGGTCCCACCTGGAAATCATCGAGCTGAATTCTAGTTATATTCATCATGATGAGCTAACTGACCTGCCTTTTGATCCTCACCTACCACCTCTCACTGGTATCCTGCCAATGTATACCGATTGCGCAGTGGAGATCACAAAAGAAAACATTGATTTCTTACGTTTTTTTTTTATACAACTTAGAATGGCAAACAAGCTGACGGCCCACCTGAAGGAAAGTGGTAACCGTCATCTATAGACATGAGCAGTACCATGGACATAACAGAGTATACTGTTTCGCCCATGATACCCCCTACGCGTTGCCATTCCTGAGGACTCAGATGTTATTCTTCTGTACCCTGTAAATTCACGCCATATCCCACACCCTTCAAACCGAAACACAGCCATGCAAACACAACTGCTTTACATTTTACAGTTAATCTCTAAAATAAGAGAATTTACATTGAGAGTTGATGAGAAAATGGAAAAAAGGATTCAGGTACCCTCTTTACCTTCAATACAGTTATTATATTGTAAAAAAATACATATAAAACATACATACATATTGTTTAAATAAAATCTTTATCATCTTACCACAAAAATTTTAAACTTGCGATAGACAGGCGTTCAATACATGTTTAAGGATTTATAAAATCGTGTCCAACATCTGTTTATGTTTGAACAAAAGTAATGTCTTTTTTTAAATAAAAGGTGTTTAAAATTATAAACTTTATTATAATGATCTAAAATTTTGTTACATAAAATTACAATACGAGTACACCGGGGGAAAGGGATTGTTAGCAATGGAGTTTGACAATCCCATTGCTAGCAATATGCCCTATTAGGTCAACCTCCACGTGGTTCCCCCTGGAAACCATCGTGAACAATTCTTGTTGAATTCGTCACGATGGGCTAACTGACCTGCTTCATCCTCACTTATCATCCTTCACTGGTGCTCCGCCAGTGTATACCGATAGCGCGGGTGGGGTACCATTCCATTATCACACATTAAAAAAAAATTACGAATACACCCCTAGTGTTGCAGGCGTCCATAGACTACAGTTACTGTTTACCATCAGACGAACTGTATGCTTGAGTGGCACCTTCGTGTTATGAAAAAAAAATCATTATTACACCGATTAAACAATAATTAATCAATTAGACAGAGTTTTGTTAAACTCTGTTTAGATAAACAGACAAGCTTTTTCGATCTAATTACACGTATGTTAAACCGGTAGTCATTATATTAAAATAGATAGTGTTTTAAATTATTTTCGGGTAAGACCGTTAATATTTAAGGTATTTATAGGATCTATGAGTTAAGAACTTTTTTGTCATTTTTTCCTTATAATGATAGAGTCGATTTTATTGGCACTACTTAACTTAATAAGTATAGTGTACATGTGGTGATAGCAGAATGGAATCATTACTTACTACGGTCTGAGCATTCCAAGATCGAATCTCAGCTCAAACTTCAGAATTTTCAAATTCATATTTGGAACATTTAAAATACTAAATGTCCAAATGACTACAAATACTTCGCGTTTCATCATATCTTATAAAAAAAAAATTACTAAAAGATTAAAATAGGTGGAATTATCCATTAGGCAGTGTAGGAAACTGCCTAGAAACCCCTATCGACCAGGGATCCAGAGCACGGAGACAGTTTCTTTGGAGGAAAATTATATTTGAAGATTTGTATTTAACAAACATTATTATTTTTATTCATCATCATATTTAATAAATGTGTTTATGTCCAATTTTACAAATACAGTACAATAATTACAAGGTTAGTAGAAATATTAATAAATACATCACAAAATACCCGTATGCCTGGCTATAGGTACATACTCGGCTTTTGCTAGAGTCATGTGCGCATTCATAACGCATTTCAAATTATTATATATATGGAATATTATAGCACTTTTTTTTATCGGGAGCGAGACGTGTGTAGCCCAGGGCCCCTGACATGGTTAATCTGGCACTGGATGGGATATCGTTCGAAAGTTAACATCATCCCGAGTGACACTGAAAGTAACAATGATATATAGATATATTTACTGGAAATCGATTCTCTTATACATAACGCTGACAGAAATAACGACCAATTGCCAACGAAGGAAAGAAGAAAAAAGAGACTACAATTTTTAATATAATATTGCTATAACTTTTTTAATTATTTCTGTTTATTGACAGCGCTGTCGTTTGTTTAATTCGAAGAGATTTTTTTTTTAAACAAAGTGCAAACAACAGCAAAAGAACTGCAGGTATGCTGCTAGCCCTTTAAAAAGGAATATGTTCTTTTCTTGAAGGTTACGATGTCGTATCGGTTTGGAAATACTGCTATATAAGATAATTCAATAGCATGTTTATGCAAAAAATACAACAAATATAAAATAAAAAACTAAATTACCACATCATAACATATGAGTATATTACTTTTTTCTAGTACAAGAAGTAAGAAATACCTAGAACAGGTTATGATCTGGATAAAGTAGGGTCCAAACAATCCGCTATCCAAGGTACCCGACCGTCACGTACGTACTGTATCGCTCCGGACTACGCGACCTAATCACGTACTAACCCCTACACCGCCCCCCCCCCCCCGCTTGCCCGCTATCTTCACCCTCCTTGTACTCATTCATACGTGATAAGTACATTTGTCACACTAGTTCTATCCCGCGGATACATTTCAAATTTTGACAGTACTAGTGCGAATTTAGAAAAAGAATTCTCCTAGAAGGACGCCATAAAAGTGTCATCAGTAAATGATCGCATATGAAATATCAAATTCAACATTAGTATCTTTTAAATGAACATAGGGACTGTGCCACCAACTAAAACTGTCCTTGTCAACCTCTCAGTAGAAAGAATTATATTTTTTATTATACACTTACGCGGCGCCTCACGACCTTGGTGACATTTCTTTTTCCAGACGTCTGATATACTAAAACCAGTCTAGATGTATTTAGGTATAAAAAATCTAATGGAAATAACGCCAAATAGACTGACAGAAATCATTTTTTTTTTATGGATGACAATGGAATGGTAACCCAGTCAATATTATTATTTTACGCTAGAGGAGTACCAGTGGTTTTTTTAATGGATGATAAATGGCATGGTAACCCCATTTGCGCTGTTGGTATATACTGGCAGGGCACCAGTGATGGATGATTGCTGAGGATGAAAAGACAAACGATGGTTTCCAGAGGAAACCGCGTGGAGGTCGACCTAATATAGTATGTTGATACCAATACCAATGGGGACTAACCTCCTCATTACTAACAATCCCTTCTCCCTGTATTAATAGTTGTGTATGATAAATGACAATGAAATCAGTCAAACTGGCATGTCATATTCACAAGGACATTTTTGGTGATTAATTCGTGGCGAACCACCTTTTTTTCTACGGGGGACCACGTCGAGATGTATGTTTTCAACAAAGGGGTGACTGATCCAAATTATTAACATTATCTTTATTTTCTTCTAGTGCTACTACAGAGCGTTTTAGAAACTAATTTTCATTGTTATGAATTAGTTCTATCTACTAATACTTAATCGCCAGTGTTGCTGTTTGTTAAAAGAATCTAGCAATTAGATGGCAATCGTGTAACATATGCGTAAATCATTATTTTTAAATCTTTAATGGACAACTTCAAATTGATTGCAAAGAGATAATTACCAAAAATTATGCATTCAAAAATAATTAAGTCTGCACACTAAATACGAGCTTGAAATTCAATATCATTGAGATTGCCATAGATATTGGATTCAACAGTTTACACAAAAATAAAATACATTCTTGTAGCTGGCAGTAAATACCTAATTTGTCATGTAATGAGTCATGATGACATAAATTAATTTGATTTTGGCAACACTGTTATAAATTCGAGAAACAAAAAAGTGTGACGGCCGATAATTTTGTGAATATTGTGCTTAATTTACAAAATATATATTAAAAATGTCGACGCTTGCAGCACCCTTATCAGTAGCGGGGACCCGATCTTCAGGGGCTCCGGTTAGAACCCAGAATGGTAAAGATATTATTTGAAAACCCACGCTCTCAAAACGCATTCCGGTAGATCACATGCAGCTCACTCATGGTTTCAGTTTTGCGAATATTTAGAGAAATCATTAGACAATCTCTTAGAATCTACCAAAATGAATAATGATTTCGTAAAAATTATATATATTTGCTACATCATTATACTTTCCTATTTATTATTTCAGTTTACAATGAAAATAACCTAGGCAAATTAATACGTTCTTCACAGCATTAGTTCCCCATAAATGCCCCATTAGGAATTGTATTCGTAAAAATATTTATATTTTTTTGCTACTTATCTCAAGATACAATGCTTTAAATTTAAACTTTTTTAATTTTAAACAAAAAATTCTTGCCAAAGCTCATAACAAGGTGAAATCTGAATGCTTCTTGTATCTTTTACTTCACCAATTGTGGAAGCTCTTCATATAATGTTCTCCTACTGCGATAGAAATAAAAAAAATAAATCACATTTTAAAACTATCCTGATTTGTAAATAAAATGTATGTAGATTTATAATGAAGCACAAGTGGACTTAAATATTTCTTGACCATAAATAAGAAACTCCATTTATAGATTTATATTAAAAAAAAAATGTATAACACCTTTTTGGCACATTCAACTATAAATACCACTGGCTAATTAGAAATGAATGTAAAATTCATTTCAACATACAATTTTCAACCAACAAAAAGAAATAATAAACAACATTTTAATCTCTGGTTGTACATCTTGGGATTTATATATCAATGATATCTGGTATATAAGTATTTTTTTATTACCATAGTGATGGCTGCAGCAGCAATTGCCAACATAGTAAAGAGTTCCCTGGGCCCAGTTGGACTGGATAAGATGCTGGTTGATGATATCGGTGAAGTCACAGTCACAAATGATGGGGCAACTATACTCAAGTATGTGAATCTATGTATTATAATTGTAACAATGTGATGTCTATACATATGAGATATTTAATACAAATTTATATTAAGTGTCTTAATAAGTACAATAGAGGTAGTAATAATAATTTTTACAATTTCTATTTGACTGTCAATATGTGTTTGTTCCAACAACACACAAAATATATTAAAATAAATAAATAAGAATTATTTTAATAATTTAATCTTATTAGATTAGTATATAAACAATATATTAAAAGCATTATACATTTATAGAAAACTGTATTATCAGTGAGTAAATATAGGCTCTATTTTATTTTCAATAACCATGCTATGCGGAGACAGGATGCTGATTTAAAATAAGAAAAAATACATATTTTTTACAAAAATTTAGGAATATGAAGTGAGTACAATAAGACCCATTTAAAGCATATCGCTATTAAAAAAACAAATAATGTAGTAAACCACAGCATAGGTCTTATCACTAGACTTTCTACTATCAATAAACAATTGTCTATAAACATTCTAGAATGCTGGAAGTGGAGCATCCTGCAGCCAAAGTGCTTGTAGAACTGGCACAGCTTCAGGATGAGGAAGTTGGTGATGGGACCACATCAGTCGTTATTATTGCCGCTGAATTACTTAAGGTATTCTTTTATTTATTTACTTAAGTTGTTATTTTATAATTTTATATGTTAGCACACTAGGTTTAATGAATAAATAAATAAAAATTTTCAACTCTCCCGCCAAGTCTGATAACTAATGTAATTAACCCCCCTCCCCCAATGTAGAAGGCCTATGTTTAGCAAAAACCATTTAATGTCTAATGATAATTCAAAATAAAATTACGATAAATTAATCATCATCATTATATTAGACATCAACTTACACTATCTTCAATAAACTACTAGACATCTGATATTTTAGACGGTTACATGAATTGTTGGTACCATACCATAGTATATTCTACTCTGAAGCAATTTATGTATACTTATAAACTTCAAAGCATCAGCTGTGGGAATGTCAGTGTCAGAACCAGTGCTATGATTATTGTTTGATAAGCCTTATATATGAAGAGATTTTTGTAGACCTTTTCATATAAATTTCTTTGTTTTCAACTTTATATACAGGTTGATATTGCAATTGTTAACCATACGTTAAACGAAAAATGTGTATTAGAACTAAAATACAATAAAAAAATTCTTAAATGTCTCAAAAAAATACTTGGTCTCTTATTTACCACTCTTACCATACTTAACAGTTGTATGCACTGTGTTAATGTGGAAGACTCAATTAGTAAAAATGTTCTGTTTACATTCCTAAATAGAACATTTATTAAAATAACTTTTATTTAAAAGTGATGCTGATGATTGCAATTATCCTATATAAATATTTACCTAAAACCTATGTAAATATTTATTATTGTTTTTTCAATTATAGAATGCTGATGAGCTGGTAAAAAACAAAATCCATCCAACCAGCATTATTTCTGGCTATCGTCTAGCGTGTAAGGAGGCTGTGAAGTATATTCAAGATAACCTCACAGTAACCCTAGAATCCCTCGGCAGACCGTCCATCATCAACGCTGCAAAGACGACCATGTCTTCTAAACTTATTGGAGCGTATCCTTTTCAAATACATCAATTAGATACGTATTTATTTGCTTATCTATTGTTTTTAATTCTTTAGTAATTTTGATATTTAATAACCTTGATAATGTAGCGATGTAAATATACTGCTTAACCTTCATGGTCGCGATGTGGTTCTTCATTTATAATTTAACTAAATTACTAAACCAGTTTTGATAAAATTTCTATGGGACCAATCTTTAAATGTATTCTGAAAGGATATTAAAACACAACAAATAAAAAAAGAATTTTCCAAATCAGATTATAAATAATTGAGTTATGAAGTAATCAACAAAAAGAATAGATCCGAATTAAAAACCTTCTTTTTGAAGTCAGTTAAAAAATAGCAGAACACATTAATAAATAAATATATGTATATTGGGATCTCAACATAAGTGTTATTTATATTTTTGATGATTAATGCAGAGAATCTGGTCAGGTCTGATAAAATATAGTTAAGTAAAAAGAAAAAGTAATATAAGTTTTTTCTAAATTGTAAAAATGAAGACTACGTATGTTAATCTTATTTACTTATATATTATTTACCTATTTAATGTTTATTTAACCTATAAAATAGCTTTCATGATGTAATAAATTTAATCATGATTTTATAAAAGAAGACATTCCTTAACCACTGCACCAGTGATGCAGATTTTTTCTCTGAAATAATAGTGGATGCAGCACAAGCTATCAAAATCACAGATTCCAAAGGAAACGCTCAATATCCCATCAAAGCAGTGAATATACTCAAGGCGCACGGCCGAAGCGCACGGGAGAGTGTCCTTGTGAAGGGATACGCTTTGAACTGCACAGTAGCATCCCAGGCCATGCCTAAGAAGATTCTTAACGCGAAGATTGCGTGTTTAGACTTCTCATTGCAGAAAACCAAGATGAAGATGGGTGTACAGGTAAGTTTTTTTATTTACTATCAGTATATGCTGGTAAGGTACGAATGAAGGATGATAGGAGAGAAAGAAATAATTTTAGGCGGCCCATCGTGATGTATCCGCCTGGTTTGCCCACGATGGTTTCCAAGGAGACCACACGAAAATCAACCTGAAAGGTTATATTGCTAGCAAAATTTGATTTTTTGTTTATAAACTAAAAAATCTTTTTAAAAATGTTTCACCTATAAAATACTACATGGTCAGCCAATATCGTGAGCCATATTTTCTCTACCCATGAGAAGTCGGAGCAAGTCGCTAGTCCGGCGATAAAATTGTACTGCTACGTTAATATCACGCTCTCAATACGATAGCCTTATTTAAAATAAAATCTATTATCCAAAAATATAATAGTTACTTGAAATTATGATTTCTTACAGGTGCTGGTCACTGACCCCGAAAAACTAGAAGCGATCCGAGCCAGAGAGCTAGACATCACTAAGGAGCGTCTCCAGAAGATCTTATCCACTGGAGTGAACGTCATACTCTGCAGTGGTGGAATCGATGATCTCTGCCTCAAGTACTTTGTTGAGGCTGGTGCTATGGGCGTCAGACGGTGCAAGAAGGCCGACCTCAAAAGGATTGCGAAAGCCACCGGCGCTACGTTCCTAACGTCACTTACCAATATGGAGGGTAAGTTATAGTTGGCTTTTATGTGCTTGGCTTTGGACTACCAAACTGCTTTGCCCCTAATGCTGGATTCATATTGGCCCTTCTCAGCTGAAACTGCATTTTGAATTGGGTGGTTAATTCATGAAGAAATGTCATTAGTAATTAAGTTTACTTGAATAAAAAATATTTTGATTTATTTATTTAAGATCTCTGGCCATAACAAGTACATGTAAACATTTGTTCTATACTCTGTCTATATGATGGACATTCTGTTAGTAGACAGTTAAATAGGACAATAATATACAAAATTAGGTTTTCTATCGGATAATTACAACTGTCAAGTTCAAAGATTAATGCACTAAAGAACTTAATGTGACAAAAAATAATATGAGTAAAAATAATTGTTTTAATTTGTTTCAGGAGAGGAAGTCTTTGAGCCAAGCATGATTGGTGAGGCTGCTGAGGTGGTGCAGGAACAGATTTGTGATGATCAACTCATCTTAATCAAGGGGTAAGTCAATCATTGTTCTGTTTTGAGCTTAAATAATTTGGTTATATGATTTTGAGGACTTGTGTCCAATATGTAGGACATGAAAGAAAGGATGCCAGAAAAAAGATAGAAGGACGACATAAAAAGAACAGCATACAAGTTATGGTACAGATTAACGAAAGAGAAAAAAATATGGAAAGATCTTGATAAAGCTTGTGTCGAAAACAAACTAGATATTTTTATATCATCCTCCCATTTCTTTTTTTGGCGTCCTTTATTTTGTGTTACACATCCTGACAATCGAAAGTTTAGATATAGTGGCAAAAATGTATTTAAAAAATTTCAATATAAAATATAAAGTAGGTGTGTGGAGCCGATGATCTTAATTTTTTAAGGATTCAGAATTACGCGTGACATGCAATATTTCTCGTAGTGAGTGACGGAACTACTTGCGTTACAAGTTAACTGATTAACAGCAGTAGGCACTCGCGCGTTGTTCACACCGATCTTTTGATGTGGCCAGCTACAAGTGCAAAGTTTTTAGTGGTAGATTTATATGCAATACATTCTATGATTAATATTTTAGTTCGCTAAGGGACCACTTTTTGAATTATTTATTTATTTATTTAACTCTTTATTGCACCATAAACAAAAATATACAATGACAAGTGAATAATTCAAGTGAAATATAGTAACATAAATACAGATTGAAATATACACATAATGGTACAAAAGGTTGTCTTATCGCTAGGGCAATCTCTTACAGATAACCATTGGTTTAAGAAGAACAGATAGAAGTGGGTAGGTGGCGCAAGCTGTAATACACAAAAATATCAAATACATATTTTTTAATTGACCGTGAAGCAGTTGTGTTTGCATGGTTGTGTTTCGGTTTGAAGGATGGGATATGGCGTAAATTTACAGGGTACAGAGGAATAACATCTGAGTCCTCAGAAATGGCAACGCATGGGGGGTATCATGGGCGAAACTGTATACTCTGTTATGTCCATGGTACTGCTCATGTCTGTAGGCGACGGTTACCACTTTCCATCAGGTGGGCCCTCAGCTTGTTTGCCATTCTTAGTTGTATAAAAAAAAAATATACACATAAAGGTACAAAAGGTTGTCTTATCGCTAGGGCAATCTCTTACAGCAACCATTGGTTAAAGAACAGATAGAAGTGGGTAGGTGACGCAAGCTGTAATGCACAAAAATAATCAAGCGGAAAAATTGATGATTATGACTTTTTATTTATGAATTGATGTAATTGCGACGTGGCCACAGTCCGTATAAGCGTGTGTCGTGTGGCAGGCCGAGCGCGCGGTCGGCGGCGTCGCTGATCCTGCGCGGGCCGACGGACGCGTACTGCGACGAGATGGAGCGGTCGGCGCACGACGCGCTGTGCGCCGTGCGCCGCGTGCTGGAGTCGGGCCGCCTGGCGCCCGGCGGCGGCGCCGTCGAGGCCGCGCTCTCCATCTACCTGGAGAACTTCGCCACCACGCTGGTACCTGCGCTATTCATTTATTTCACTTCACTATTGCCAGTCACTTTATTCTGCCTTTTGTGAAGGGAAAATAAACCATTCATTCATTCATTTATTTATTTATACTTTTGCACACGTTAGAATATGTCTACGAGGTTTGTCCGGAAAGTACGTATAAAAGTTTTTTAAAAATTTTATTTTACAATTATTCAGGTAAATCAATTTTATCCCCTTCAAAGTACTCCCCCTGTGACATAATGCACTTGTGCCAACGCCGTTTCCACTGTGAGAAGGCTCCTTGAAAGTCCTCTGGTTGTAGGTTTCTCAGCTGCCCCGTCGTAGCTTTTTTTATCTCATTTATGTCCCCCAAATGCCGCCCCCGAAGTACCAATTTGGTTTTTGGGAACAAGAAGAAGTCACACGGGGCCAAATCCGGCGAATAGGGGGGGTGTTCGGTCACCGTAATGGAATTTTTACTCAAAAACTCACGGACAACAAGAGAGGTGTGGGCAGGGGCATTGTCGTGGTGAAGAATCCAACGCCCCTCTCGCGCCAATTCTGGACGAACTCGTGCCACACGAGCTTTGAGGCGTCTGAGCACATCGACGTAGAATTTTCCATCAACTGTCTGGCCTGGAGGGACGAATTCTTGATGGACAATCCCCCGAACATCGAAAAAAACAATCAACATTGTCTTGACATTTGAGCGGGATTTTCTTGATTTTTTTGTTCGTGGTTCCCCGGATGTCTTCCACTCTTTGCTTTCACGGCCATTCTTGCCGAGTTTCGAGAGAAACTTGATTACGACGCGCTGCTCTTCAACGGAAGCGGGCTCCATGCCGACGGGGTTTCGTTAAGAGGTAACTTCACAGATGGCGTGACAAGCCAGTTCGCACCGCACGGCGGTCAGACCAGAACTGAAGCATTGTTAGGGACATAAGGAAGGGGTCCTGCGCTTACCTGGCCTCCCCACTCCTCTTTCTCGCATTCCAGAACACTTTTATACGAACTTTCCGGACAGACCTCGTACAGGGCGGACTTAATGCCTGATGGCGTTCTCTACCAGTCAACCGTTACTTTATTTTTATTTTATTTCAATAGGTACACATTACAGAGAATTAACATGGTTACATTAATTTATACAGTACAATAATGTTTTGTTCAGGCTAACCCTCCAAAAATATGCGTACACAGCGTGATCAAAACATAAACGCGCAGCTAAACAAGTCTGTGAACACAATATAATTTATACAACAAAAAGTTACTTAACTTATACATTAACAATTACAAACACATGGATAACCATATACATTTATATATACACATACATATATATACATACATACATGCATATACACACAGAGACACACATACCACAGTGTACATATTACGTTCATATATATGTTACGCTAAACAGAGAGTAAATGGAGGTGCATAAATTAAAAAAAAATGTAAAGTAAATAAATATTTTGAAAGATAATTTATGATAACTACTACTAATGACAGATTTGTTATCGCTGGCGATTCTATATGGTCAAATGAGATTGCGACGTCTTCCGCCGTTATTCTTTATCATGCGTGTGTTAAACGTAACTGTATTATATTTACTTAGATTATATGCATAGAGCAGTGATTCTCAACCACTGTGCCGCGGCACTTTTGTGTGCCGCCAAATTTTAAAAGTGTGCCGCCAAATTTTGCAAATATATAAAATTTTGTCATAAACTATTTATGCAGTGTGTTGTAGTAAGTAAATAATTTTAATCTTTTCCTTTGTGTGCCGCCAAATTTTGAAATCGTTAAATATGTGCCGCAACAAAAAAAAGGTTGAGAATCACTGGCATAGAGCATCCAGTCTCAAAAACGGGCCAACTCTTTATCAGCTAATTGTCAAATTAGCTGACTCATTTTTTATAAAAAAAAAACTGTTCTATATACTTATGCACACAATGTGTCTTGATAAATCTATATTTTTAGTTATTTAATAAATAAAATTAGTTCTTACGCATTAAAAAGATGAAAAAATTTTAAGACAAAATAAATATAGAAGGAAACACTCATAACTATTTATCACGCAAAATTGTGTGAAAAAGTTGAACCAGCTTTTCTCGAAGCACTTGTATGGAGTTGTATACACTCTATCTATATAATCTAAGTATATTTATTAAATTTCCCAGAGCTCCCGGGAACAGTTGGCCATAGCAGCATTTGCTCAGTCTCTGCTGGTGATCCCGAAGACACTGTCAGTAAACGCGGCCCGGGACGCCACAGACCTGGTGGCTAAACTACGCGCCTATCACAACTCTTCGCAAACTAAGGTGAATACTAAAACTTGTGTATTTATATATAAAAATAATTAATACTTATACATTTTATGAATGTGTTTATGTAAATAACTGTTATGTAAAATTAAAACAGTTATGTGCAATTAATTGTAAATGTCGTCCTCCGTGGCGCAGCGGTCAACACGCCTGCCTGCGACGTGGAGGCCCTGGGTTCGATCCCCGGCCAGGTCATGATGGAAAACGATCTTTTCCTGATTGTCCTGGGTCTTGGATGTTTATCTATATATGTATCTATTATAAATATAGTATCGTTGAGTTAGTATCCCATAACACAAGTCTCGAACTTACTTTGGGGCTAGCTTTATCTGTGTGATTTGTCCGTATATATTTATTTATTTATTTAATTATATCTTTTAAAATAATACTTTATCTGTAAATGTAATGACAACAATTTGAAAATGAATTAATGCATTTTTTTTTACTTATAAACAGTAGTCTATAAGTTTTTATGGATAAGAGGGAGTACCCCCTATTCATAAAAACTAACAAATCCTATTAGCATATTTTATCACTGTCTGTCCAATGGTGAAATTGGCGCAACAGAAAAAGACAAAACACTTCAATAGCTAAAATACGTTTATAAGAGATTTGTTATTTTTTAAGAATTTGTATAATTTTAAGATCATCAAAAACCCCATTTAATCTTTACGACATTATTGTGAAACTTTGTTAGAAATCGTTTCTACTGGATATATATAAATAAGCAGTTATGTAAAAAATATAATTAAATATTTCCCAGGTCGAACATGCAAACCTGAAATGGGTGGGTCTAGACCTCACAGAAGGTACCCTGCGCGACAACCTAGCCGCCGGTGTGCTGGAGCCCGCGATCTCCAAGATAAAGTCCCTCAAGTTCGCAACAGAAGCGGCCATCACAATCCTGCGCATCGACGACATGATCAAACTAGATCCGGAACAGAAAGGCAAGAGTTACGAGGACGCATGCAACGCAGGGGAGTTAGACTAACTATAGTGCAGTGAACACGGTGCTTCAGTCATTATAAGTAACGGCCTCTAAGCAAAATGTGGATACCTTATATGTCTAACTACAGATAAATTTATTTTGTACGATTCCCAAATGGTAAACGCATTTAGAAATATTTTTACATTTGAGATTTTATTAATAGCTTGAAAAATGTACCTTGTAACAACGCAATATGATTAAAATTTCCAGTTACACTGGTGATAGTAATATAAAAAAATTATTTAACAAATCAAGAGACAGTTGTCAATATACATAAGTAAATCATTATCAGAATCGATTATTTATCAAAGGGCTCAATATTGAGTGGTTGGCGAAGAAATAAGCTGATTTTCATTGAGGATCGTTGGTTACTAATTGGATAATAGTATTCCCTGCTGTAACTCAGTGTATCTGTCGGTATACGCTGTCGGGGCACCAGTGAGATGATGACAAATGAGGATGAAAGTAGATCAGTTAGCCCATAGTGACGAAATCCACAAGGTTGAACTACGGTGGATTCCAGAGGGAACCGCGTGGAGGTCGACCTGATAGGGTATATTGATAGCAATGGGAATCCTATAGGATCCCCATTGCTAGTATTGGGGGTATACCCCCATTACTAACAATCCCTTTCTCCCCTAATCGGCTCTTAGGACATTCTAGGTTCAGAAAGCGGTGGTGACACATATTTTTATAAAATCACCACTCAGAAAAATTAAAATTTCAAAGTAACATTATTAAACAAAAGAGATAGCGATAATCCATATGTTTCGCCATATTTTGACATATAAAAATGAAAAAAAAAAAATTGTAAAAAAATCCAACTTCAATCTTCACAAAGTCATTTCGGGACCAAGGTGGGAATAAGCTCTAAAGAGAATTGTTAAAACTCAAAATTGACAAGATTTTGGGAATTAAGATAATCTCCTCTTATCGAAGTTGGTTAATCATATGCCATATGGCATATTTTACTTTTACATAAATGCATAAAGCTTCATTCAAAATTCAATTAATTAATATAAAAATAAAATTCTTTATAACCTCGTGTAGATTTTTACTACTATCCATATTTACTTAGAGGCCGTCAATGTATTACTATTTTGCATTATGTCACATTTAGCAAATGATTACGCTAACAACAGTTGCAACGTGCTATGTATGCAAAATACCTACTTCAATTCTGTATTTTATTAAATTTTATAAGATTAAAATACTTTAACACTTAAACCTTTTAGTTTTTTTTTTTTTTTTTTTAAGTAATAGACTATAAAGTATTTAACCCTTAAATACCTGAAGTTTCAAATTTGATACCGGGGTTTGAATTGTTTCATTGTTAAATAAATTTAAATATTTTGATTACCGTAATGCCTAAAGTATCAAAAATAATATATTTTTTTTTTTAATAAATATATAAAAATATCGTTTTGATTTTTTTACTATTTTCCCCCATTAGTAAACACAGTAAAGGGTACACTTATATATTTTTTAATTTGATGTCAAAAATCAGGCTTTTAAGGGTTAATAAACAAAAACAATACCGTTACGCCTAATACACTAGTGAAATAGTAATCACATATGTGGCAGGTTTTTTAATAAGTGAAGATAAAATGGCAACCCCACTTGCTCTAACCGTATACGCTGGCAGGGCCACCTCTTCCTTACCTGTAGGTGTCGTAAGAGGCGACTAAGGAAAACTAATGGTCGAGGGATGGGCAGCAGCGTCCCTCTTAAAGCATAACTGCGATTACCAACCCGCCTGCCAAGCGTGGCAACTACTAGTGAATCTCCCCTTATGGAAATGGCCTCTGTTCAGCAGTGGACAGTTAAAGGCTGGTATAATAATAATAAAAAAGGCCCACACAGGAAAATAATATCAAATACGCCAATGACGTTATAGCTTCAAATAATCCTATAGTCCTTATGGTATAACTTTATAAAGATATTCTTCATAGAATGCTTTAAAAAAACGGGTCATCTTTTTATACATTACATACAATCTATTTTTTTTTTTTATACAACTTAGAATGGCAAACAAACTGAGGGCCCACCTGATGGAAAGTGGTAACCGTCGCCTATAGACATGAGCAGTACCATGGACATAACAGAGTATACAGTTTCGCCCATGATACCCCCCATGCGTTGCCATTCCTGAGGACTCAGGTGTTATTCCTCTGTACCCAGTAAATTCACGGCATATCCCACCCTTCAAACCGAAACACAGCCATGCAAACACAACTGCTTCACGGTTGAAACACGAATGGGACAGAGGTACCCAAGCAATCGACTTTTGTACAAAGTCTCCCTCTGATGGTAAGTGGTAACCGTCACTTATAGACATGAGCAGTACCATGGACATAACAGTTCAATATAAGACAGGCTCTTGATAAAACAGCGTTACATAATCCAGGGATAGCTGACTTATTTATCAAATGACAAAGGAGACGAATTGTATAACTTGTATGTTATTTAAATTTGCTATTTGTACTCTGCATTGTAAACTGATAACGGTAATTAACATACGCGATTAAAGTTTTTTTTTTCTTTATACTAAAACATATCGTATGCTCACCGCATCTTTGCCGTATCATCTATCTATCTATACTTATAATAAATCTGTAAAGAGGTCAATTCTGTACATGAAATATATTTCCAAAATAACTATCAGCGGGTGATTAGTGATCGATACTGATGCCAAAAATGCAATCAGTAAAATTTTTGTCTGTCTGTCTATATGTTCGTTATAGAAACAAAAACTACTCGACGGATTTTAACGAAACTTGGTACAATTATTCTTCATACTCCTGGGCAGGTTATAGTATACTTTTCATTACTCTACGATCAATAGGAGCAGAGCAGTGAAGGGAAATGTTGGGAAAACAGGAGAAGTTACTCCATTTATAAGCTTCCGTCGCGTGTGCAGCCTTTATGGCCAGTTTTTAAAATGTAAAAATGTCCACCTGTGCGAAGCCGGGACGGGCCGATAGTATATCCTAAATTCGTCGAAAAATTGAGACAAATAAAGAGTAGATATTTAAGTACTATTTACCTATAACCGCGTCGCATTAAGTTCCTCCTGGACCAGTGTTTCCCAATCTTTTTTGTACCATGCCCCACTTGAACATTTCTAAAATTTTTATGCCCCCATACATAATTTTTCCCGACAAAGTTTACTTGACAACTCTAATCGTCCAGTTAATATTTTGGTAACGTCAAACGAAATTATACCTAATAAATATTTAAAGTTTTTTTTTTTTATTTACTTTTTTGATAAATTTAGCACCGATATCTACACGTAGCATTGCATTTAAATGGCCCAAAGCAAGAGGATTAAAATCGCTTTGAGTTCATTTTTTAATTGCCCCCCCTTAACCATCAAATTGCCCCCCTGTGGTGCGTGGGCCCCACGTTGGGAAACACCGTCCTAGACATTTCATATCCTAACCTATCGATCGACGGGGGGGAGGGGGGGGGAAGGAATTGTTAGTAATGGGGTCTAATAGCCCCATTGCTAGCAATATACCCTCTTAGCTCGACCTTCACGCGGTTCCCCCTGGAAACCATCGTGGTTAATTCTAGTGGAATTCATCATGATGGGCTAACTGATATACTTTCATCGTCACAAATCATCCCTCACTGGTGCCCCGCCAGCGTATACCGTATACACTGCAGGCGGGGTTGCCATTCCATTATTAGCTATTAAAAAAACCTATTCGACGGATTTTCAACAGATTTCAAAAAAAGTTTCAATCTGATTGTGTTTTTTTATGTTTATTACCTCATAACCCTGTAAGTTATAAACAGATTTGGAAAATTCTTTTTTTTTTAATCTAAAAGGGTATATTTACTTGTTGATCTCATAAAAGTTTTATCATAATCGATTCAGTGGTTCAGTTTTTAAAACAAAATAACTGGATCTTTTAAATTTTACATGTACTTCATTGTTATTTACCACATTCATATGCTTTCTTTATATAACTTTATAATTTAACATTGTTTGCCGACTGCTTTAACCATGCTGTGTGTACACCTGTCTGGGTCTCAATTCTTTATATCATGTCTATAATGTTATTGATTGTAACCTGTTGTGTATACCTTTAATAAATACAAAAAAAAAAAAAAAAAAAAAACAGAATAATGTTATAGTATGTTTAAATACAAACATCAAATTTCATTACCTAAACTTTTAGCTACACTACTTTCACATCAGTTGTCGACGTCATGCCGTATTTGTCATGCGCATTTTTTTCATTATAATTAATAATACAGATCAAAAGATGGATGACGTTTGAATCTTTCTTTTATACAGATCAACAAAAGGATATCAATTTGTACAGATGGTTCATTGCATATTATATATACCAAAAGTGATAATAGTTTATTCAGGTGTTATAGGTAATTGATACTGCAGGATACAGGGGTCCAATTTTATTAAAAAATAAATAATCATAATTTTTTCTTGAAATTAACACAAAAACCCTCTTTAAACGGAATTAGTAACAAATGGATACATTCAATTAATTAATTAACATTTTACTGCTCTTGGATTTCAGCAAACTCAACAGTCTTGTGCTTAGATCAAGTTATTCGTTTCTTTTTATTTTTTTTTTTTATAACTTTTAACCGCAACTTAGTCCACGTGACCAGGACATCTCTTTTGATGTGCTGACAAATGTGTAAGGGTTGTTACAAAAGAGTTAAAAAAAATTAATAATATATAATTTCATTATAAGCCAATTTTTTTGGTTTAAATTTTATTTATAGGACCCAATAGACAGTCGCGGTTGCGCTAACGGGATACGCTCGCTTTTATCGGATTTGGGTTTAGGATTGAGGTGGAGTATCGTTATGGGTTTAAAAGTTTTTATGGTGGGTTTTGGTGTAGGATTTGGGAAATATATTTAGGATAGTTGGTGAGGATTAAGAATGGATCGTGGAGCTCAGTAGGGTTTGTGGGTAATAATCCAATTATACCCTACTTTTTGGATCATCGTGTCCTAGTTTTACTCTTTAATACCAAAATGAATTACATAAAGTCCACTATATGTGCAAATAAATTATCTATCTACTCTACTTACAATATTTAGTTAAAAAACTTATTAGAAACATTTTTTTTTTCCCGATTTAAAATTTAAAAATATGTCTTCTAATTTTTGCGAATGTTCAGCTAAATACCTGTGCACAAAGACCGTTCTTTGGCCTCTTAATTATCATTAACATAAGTGTGGGACACATTAATCTAGCTATTAAATATAACAAAAACCTGTGTCTATTTTCTTGTCTTGTATTTTAGTGTCTTAATAAAAATGTCGTAAAACTATCAGTGTTCGGCAAATCACTTTTTTATGGATGAAAATAACATGGTAACCCCGCCTACGCTATCGGTATATGCTAACGAGGTACACATCAGTGAGAGATGATGGGTGACGATGAAAGCAAGCCAGTTAGCTCATTGTGAGGAATTCTACAAGAATTAACCATAATGGTTTACAGGATCCCTTTTGCGTGGATTTTTTTTACAACACAGGAAGCAACCGAGCATGCGGCTCACCTGATAGTAAGTGACTACCGCCGCCCATGATCATTTACAACATCAAAGGCATTCCAAGTGTGCTGCCGACCTGTTAAAAAGTAATATGCACTTTTCTTGAAGGTTATGATGTCGTATCTATTCGGAAATACTACTGCTAGAAGTTGATTCCAAAGAGTGGTTGTGTGTAGAAGAAAGTACCTTGAAAATGCACGGTGGAAGACCGCCACTCGTCCAGATGGTTGGGATGAAACTTTATCTAGATAACTAGATCGACCTAATAGAGTAGGTATATGGGGGGAAAGGGATTGTTAGTAATGGAGACTAAGAATCCCATTGCTAGCAATATATTGCTAACCCTACCAGGTCGACCTCCTCGCGGTTCCCCCTGGAAACTATCATGGTTAATTCCTGATGAATCCATCATGATGGGCTAACTGGCTTGCTTTCATCCTCACCCATCATCTCTCACTGATGTCTACCTCGTTAGCATATACCGATAGCGTAGGCATTATGTCATCATTCAGGTTATCATGCCATTTTCACGCATAAAAAAAATAGGGTATATTGCTAGTAATGGAGCTGTTCAACCCTATTACGCATTCGTAAGTTTGGTTGCCCATGGCAAACAACTTATTCACATTTTTTAACAATGTTTCTAATGAAGCGTGAATAATTATAATTAGTTTTACTTATTTTAAATAACTTTTGCACTGCGCGACGTAACATTCATCCATCTATCGTTACAAGCTTTCGCATTTATTATATTAATAGGACCACTAACAGTACAGTGTTATATTATCTGTGGTAGGACTAACAATCCGGATCGACTTCGCACAGGTAAACAGAATTTTCGAGAATAATAAATAAATTTATAACCTATGTTACTCGTTGATAACGTGGTATTTTATAGGTGATTTTTTTTTTAAATCAGTTAAGTAATTTTTGAGTTTACCCATTGATTTGATTTATAAAAACGCCAAATCTTTCATAAACATTTTAGCTATTGAACTGTTTGGTTTTTTTCTTTTGCCACTATTTTCTAAATTTGAATGACAGTGACAAAACACTCTAATAATTAAAACAGGTTTTTTTTTAATGTGTGATAATGGAACGGTATATCGGTATGCACTATCGGTATACGCTGGCGGGACACCAGTGAGGGATGATAGGTGATAATGAAAGAAGTTCAATTAGACCATCGTGACGAATTCCATTAGAATTAAGCACGAATGATTTCCAGGGGGAACCACGTGGAGGTCAATCAGACAGGGTGTATGGATCAGTTAGACCCCATTACTAACAATCCCTTTCCCCCCATTAAAACAGGCTTGTATGCTACAAAAAGTTTCAGTTTTTATGAATAAGGGGACTAGTATAGAAGATACTAGGATTTTGTCCAATATTTATTACAATACAGTTAAATACCGTAACGAAACTGAATTTTTAAGACATATTATTATAATTATAGCGATATTTTAAACACAGAATCCCCATATATTCTACAAGTATGTTTCAAGAGGACATAATAAAAATTGGAGATAATAATATAAATTACTTAAAAGTCGGCAATGGGCCACACAACGTGCTATGTGTACCCGGCGCTCTGGGGTCCATATGGACCAACTTCAAACCACAAATAGAAGGATTTGACCGAGAGATGTTCACATTGGTAGCGTGGGATCCTCCAGGCTACGGGAAAAGCAGACCACCAGAAAAAGACTTCCGCACTGATTTCTATGAGAGGGATGCAGATTGTGCATATGAACTAATGAAGGTCAGTACAGTTCTTTTCACAGATGTAACACCGCCTCTACTAATGGTATACGCTGGAAGGATACCAGTGAGGGATGATAGATGAGAATGAAATAAGGTCAGTTGGCTTATGTTGGAAAACTCACAAGGAATTAGCCACAATGGTTTCCGAATGTAACCACATAAAAATAAATGATATTAAATAATATAAATATTTAAAAAAATTAAGATTATTAAGACAAAAAACATCTACTTCAATTGAGGCAAAACTAGTAAGTTTGACTTAAAAACTAAAGCACTGAATCGATTTTGACAAAAATTCTGGCCCAATATTAATTAATAGATATAATTAGATAATTCTGGGATCAATCTGTAAGTATATCCTTTCAAATAAAAGAAACATTTTACAAATCGGTTTACAACTGACGAAGTTATGAGGTAATAAATATGAAAAAACAAAAGGTCTGGTCCAATATTATAGTTAATAGATATAATTAAATAATTCTGAGACCAATTTGTAAGTATATTCTTTCAGATAAAAGAAAATTTTCCAAATTGGTTTCAAACTGACGGAGTTGTTTCAAAACCTAGCAAACATAAAAAAAAAAATTACAACCGAATTAAGAACTTCCATCTCTTTAAAATCAGTTGATAACTCTTTGGATAGAATAAACATACACTCAGAGCCTATCCTAATCGAAAAAATATATTTTAATTAAAATTATACATGCTTAATTTCTTTTAAACATTGTTAAAGGCATTAAAACTTCCAAAGTACTCCATTTTGGGGTGGTGTGATGGTGGGGCAGTTGGTATGATTCTCGCTGCCAAGCACCCAGAGGTCGTTGAGAAACTAGTAGTTTGGGCTAGCAAGGCATTTATCCTTCCACGTGATTTGCTAATATACGACAGTAAGTGTACTACATGTTTTTTTTTACTCTGTGTTTATTTATTTTGTAACAACTTCATTTTTTATCAGACTAGCGAGATTAGGAGCATATTTTCTGAAATCCTAACTCCACCTACTTACCATAGAGACTATATGCAAAAAGAACTCCCATTTGTTGCCATGCTTGACCAACAAGGTTCTCGAAAGATAGATAAATATATAATTTACATGCATTACATACAGAACACAAATCACAACAGATGTAGACAGATATATCTACACAAAAATAATACATGTATGTGTATCCTTTTTTTTTATAAAAAAATTGTATAAAATAAATTCAAATCCATTCGTGTTTCTACCGTGAAGCAGTTGCGTTTGCATGGCTATGTTTCGGTTTGAACGGTGGGATATAGCTGTGAATTTACAAGGTACAGAGAAATAATACCTGAGTTCTCAGGAATGGCAACGTATGAAGGTATCATGGGCGAAACAGTATACTCTGTTATGTCCATGGTACTGCTCGTGTCTATAGGCGAAAGTTACTCCTTTCTATCATGTGGGCCGTCAGCTTGTTTAGCATTCTAAGTTGCATAAAAAATACATAAAATAAAAAGAAAAGTTCATCACGAAATGATTATAGTAATAAGTAGTAAATGAAGTGGTGAACATCCCCGGAATTCCTAAGAACTGGAACACTTTTAAGGTTACGTAAAACAATTGTGATTGAAAAATGGTTACTGTTCCACAAAAGGAAATTACCTTGTTAAATCACTAAGCACCATCAGTATTATTTTTTTCGTCGTTAAAAAACTCCATCAAATATTTGTCCAGAAACGCTAAATAGGTTTGACTAGCCCTGCTAATAATTCACGTTTCCCCTTTGTGTATAATGAAAGTGATTTAGAAAATCAAAGAATCATAAAAAAATGCCCCCTCACCAAATTATTAGGGTCTTATTAAAATGATTAAACAATGTCTTTATGTGAGACATTCAAAAGAAAAAATAATATGAGGGCTCTTAATAAGCCCAATAGATGCCAATACAATATTTTGATATAAATTTTATCTACATGTTTGTTCCAAAATCACCCAAAACTACCCCAACATAGGACATATTAAATTGTTAAGGTTTTACCAGTTGTATTAAGGAGCACAACTGTAAAACCGTATCCAATGGTCTAACTCAAAATCTCAAAAATAATTATAAAATAGAATAGATTAAATCTTTATTGTGAGCTGTACATTATAATAATTTGCAAGAGATTCATTACGTCTTAAAGGAAATTTGAACAGCCTGCCCATACATCGGGCATAAAATACAATTATACATCACATTAACGAATTTATCTTGACACATCGTCTAAAAATAGTCTATTGTATTGATTTTTCTACTTCTAAACTCCACGCGTACGAAATAGGGAGCAAAAACTAGCCTTTATTAATATATACATAAACCTGCCTTGATTTCCAGAATACAGAGATGTAAATGAATGGTCTTTGAATTATAAAAGTGAGATGGTTGAAGTGTACGGTGAACATTTCGCCAGCTACTGGGCCAAGTGGACCGATAATGCTTTATACGGTATGTTTAAAGCTAAAAATGGGGATATATGTTTGGATCGGTTGAAAGCCATTAAATGCCCCACGTTCATACTGTACGGAGAACAAGATCCGTTAACGAACAAGGACCACGCCATTTACCTGCATAATCATATTGAAAACTCCAGGTAATCCATATGTATATTTGTCAAGAATGTTCAACTAGTTTCGGAACCATTCGGAATCCTTAAGAGCATTCGTAATTCGAAGTTAACAAAACGTGACCACATCGAAATTATCTGTAAATTGTGAATTTTTTTTTTTTTATTTTCTATGTTTTTGACTGATTGTTCAAATAAAGGACTGAACTAAAATGTTAATTATGGTATACGTTGCATATAAATCTAGCTTAGGGTTTAAGAAAAGAGACAAATTACAAGAACTATTGAGGTCAAAAGGGAAAAAATGTTAGGACACTTGATATGACACGACGAACTTATCAACATTATCATAGAAGGTAAGATAGAAGGAGGGAAGGGAAGAGGGAGACCATGGCATAGTTACATCAGGCAGATCAAGAAAAAAGTTGGTGTCGTGTCGTATCAAGAGGTAAAGAGACTCGCATAATATCGTAGTGAGTGGCAAGAGCTCTACCGACAAGAGCGCAGCTCTTAAATAGGATAGATAGATAAATTTAACATTAAACACTGCGCTAAGCATGGGTAATATATAGCAATATCTATATATTGTAGTTACAATATCTATACATATATTGATGCAATAACAGCTATATTTAATATTGGTTATCCAATATATAATATCTAAAAAAAGAACCCGCTCGTAATGGATATAGATATCGGTTTGGTATTGTTGATATCTAAATAGGTGGTTATCAATGTTAGATATTACCGATTCCTACTTTGCGCCTACTTCATATTTTTGGTTCCATACGATTTGGTTTTTGCTGTCATAACTTTATAATTATTATTAATGTATGATTAAATAAATAAATTAAATAATCTGTTTTGGAACTTTACAAACTATTCAAATCAAAATTTTCTGCGACAGTTTAATAATTATATTATAGTTAATAAGCATGCCGTGTGGTCCCGGCATAGAATAGACCACCTCATTCTATTCCGTAAGTGTCGTAGGAGGCGACTAAGGGAGGGCGAGGGAAGGGCAGCAGCGTCCCTCTTAAAACATCTCTAAAGCCTAACACCGGTTGCCAACCCGCCTGCTAAACGTGGCAACTACTGGCAAACCCCCCAAGGGGGAGGCTTATGTTCAGCAGTGGCAGTTACAGGCTGATATGTTTGTTGCATGATTAATGTTTTTAGTTCGTTATCAGCTCTTTTTAAATATCAATTAAAAACATTGAAAATTATATATTTTTTTCTTAATATTTCCGATTGATTATTTAAAAAAATCTCTGCTAGAGAACAAAAATTTTATGAATAAATGAGTATACTTTATTTGCATTATACGATATAGAAAATAAGCGAGACAATTAACAAATATAACGATACAATTGTATAAATACAGTAAGGCGGTCTTATTGCTGAGAGCAATATTTTCAAGATAACCATAAGGTAATTGATAAACTATTATATTTTCTGTTTGCAGATTACACAAATACCCGGCGGGCAAGCACAACGTACATTTAAAGTACGCCGATGATTTCAACAGAAGAGTCCAAGACTTTTTACTAGAACCAAAATAACGTTCACTCTTAACGAAGTTCGCATTTGATTTTGTAAAAAGAACATTATAGGTACCAGCTTAAATAAAATAAAAAAAAAAATAACTGACTTTCCATTCGCTACTTCGTACACATGAATTTCAAATGTAAAAAAATAAATTAAATAAACCTTTGTTAATTTTTTTTTATACAACTTAGAATGGCAAACAAGCTGACGGCCCACCTGATGGAAAGTAGTAGCCGTCGCCTATAGACATGAGCAGTACCATGGACATAACTGAGTATACTGTTTCGCTCATGATACCCCCCATGCGTTGCCATTCCTGAGGACTCAGATGTTATTCCTCTGTACCCTGTAAATTCACGCCATATCCCACCCTTCAAACCGAAACACAGCCATGCAAACACAACTGCTTCACGGTTGAAACACGAATGGGAGAGAGGTATCCAAGCAAACGACTTTTGTACAAAGTCTCCCTCTCCATCCTACTACCTCTCCCTTTAGTACTATTTTCCTGTGTTCTCTCTTCGTTTTCCTTCGTCATTTTCTTCTGTAATATGTGTGCTATTAAGTATGTGTATGTTTATGTATATATTTGATTGTGTATGTATAATAAATGTATGTGTGTATATGTATATATGTTTGTATATGATAATATTTATATAATAGTGTGCTACCTACCCTTTGTCTTTTTCTCAATGTCCTCTACCCAAAGGTTGTCTGGAAGAGATTGCTTAGCGATAAGGCCGTCTTTTGTATCACTTCTCATTAATATTTACTGTATTTGTTATTTTTCTTTTTATTTCGTGCAATAAAGTGTAAAATAAAATAAATAAATAAACGTAGATTTTAAATTTGACCTCCATGAACACAACTATGAAACTCCATCCAATTTGGTGTTATTGTTTATTCGTGACGCCAGAACAAACACACCGACAGACAGACAGATAGAGAAAATTCGAATATTGTTATATTTATAGACCCCTCATATATTTTTTCTTAAATATTTCCTATACACAGACATCTTGTGAATACAATTTTATTATATGTGAAATTTTAATGAGCCATTAGTAGCGAGTTGCAAAAAAAAATCAATCAATACATATAATAAAATCGTAACTGGTCGCTGTCTGTACATGGAAGATATATTAGAAAAACTATTATTGAGAGGTTCTATTAACGCAACGAAACCCAAAACAATGATTTTTAGAACTTTTATCTGTTTTTTTTTTTTTATTGGATGAAAATGGTATGGTAACCCCGCCTGCGCTAACGGGATACGCTGGCGGGGCACCAGTGAAGGGTGATCGATGAGGATAAAAACAGGCCAGTTAGCCTATCATGATGAATTCATCAGGAATTAATCATGATAGTTTCCAGGGGAAACCACGAGGAGGTAGACCTGGTTGAGTATATTGCTAGCAATAGGATTCTTAGTCTCCATTACTAACAATCCCTTTCCCCCCAATTTTTATCTGTTTGCTTTGTCTGTACAATTGGACACACTAGTCTCAAAAACAGCTTAACCAATTCGAATGCGGTTTTTACTAATGCGTTCCGGTTTGCTCCACTTAACATTTAGTGTTTATTTCAATCGATTCATAAATAAAAAAGTTATATCTTAGTAAAATTAACGCTGCCGTGCTCCCGCGCCATGGCCGTTGTGGCCCCACAGATATAACCTCACTTACACAATGACTTATACAATAAAATACAAAGATTTCGAAATTAAATGTTCTTAGATATAAGATTATTCTGCAGGAAGGGCTAATTTCTTAAAAAAAAAGACGCATATGTGGTTATTAAGAATTGTAACTTGATAAATTTCGTCTGGCAACAATTTAAAAAAATTGTCGGTAGTAATCGAAATTTTTTGAGAAAGACGTCATTCGTGTGTCGCTCTCGTTTTGTCGACTTATATCGCGCGCATACATAATACGACGAATATTGTTACAATTAATATATGTTTATATTGCTTTGTTTGCTTTTATATTATATATGTATATTTGTCTACAAATAAGAAGCTAATTAAGTGCAGGGCGCTACGTTGCTGGTCGGTTCAAAGCGGTGGATAAGTAAGCCGGAGTAAGTTCGACTGAACCAGAAGTTCTGAGAAGCCTAAATTCAAAGCCGAATCCTGCAAGCTACAAAATTCAAGTCAGTGGTCTCAATCTTCATTATCCTCTTCATTATAATCATAATTTCTGTACAATTTTTGTAATACAAAATACAGTCCACTAGCAATTGTTACGATTGATATTTTTCAATTTCTAACATCTTATTTCACGAACGGTTAGCAATAGTTTTAAACATGTCTTTGCTAATAGATGAAAACTCCGCTCCTAATCCTGGCTGCTCCTGGTAAAAGTTAAATCTATTACGATTTAATTCATATTGGCCCTTAGAATAAAAAAAATAATTGAAATTTAAATTTGAAAGATAAATTTAGTAAAATGGCGTTTCAGAATTAACCCTCAAACTACATTTTTTTATGATTCTTAGAATAACAAACAAGCTGGTAATCCACCTAATAGAAATAACCATCGCCTAAAACAAGAAAAATGCCATATACGTTACAAAATACACTATTACACCCTTGAAAAACAGCGCTGTAAACACAGCTATTTCACGGCAGAACTTTTATACAAAATATCCCACTGGCAGAGTACTAAATACTACTAAATAATAATGATTAATATCTAATCTATGTATATATTAAATCTACCTATATACTTATTAGCAACACAATATTAATATAAATATTTTTAAGGTATATTTAATGGCAACTCTTTCATTTTTGACTGGTCAATCAATCATCCATCCATCATCATTCCATTCTCATAATTGCTTAAATTTAACACTGATATAACTTATCTAGGTACTTTACGATGTAAATTGTACTGCAAGCAAAGCACTGTATGATTATAATAATGATACCGAGATATGAATATGCATAACCTACCTCAAAAATAAAGTATAGATACGTAGATAGGTATATTTACTCATAAAAGTCATTTGTGTCATTGCACATACAGGCGTTACTTATCTATTCAGTCTTGTTTATCTGTATTTTTACAAGTTTATTTTAGTTTATCACTAAACGTTGTGCTTTTCTTACATGAAAATAAATTAAATTGTTTTATAATAATGTTAATTAGAGGTTTAAAGATTTTTAACTCGTACTTGTACAAATCACATAATATTTGCAATTCGAATTACTATAGATCAACGTTCTTTTCGACATCAGCTGTTTTGAAACTGAAAGTAAGTACCTAACCTTGTAAGTACCTACCTACTTAATTGTATTTGTTTACGTGAATCAACAAAAAATGAAATAAGTAAATGAGATTTTCTACAGTAAGTAGGTATAATGTATCCCACTATAATACCGATCGAATATCCTTTCCGATATTTATTTTACTTTTAACCGGAGTAGCACAATATAAAGAAATAATTTTATTAGTAAATAATCAATCAGTAATTCAATTTCAAGAGTCGGCACTGCCCTTATGTATATTAATGAAATAGAAAATAAATCTATGCAACCACTTGGAATTGCCAACATAATAAAGTAATTACATCTATTTATAATATACATCTAAAGAAAATTATTTCGCTGTGGATTATAAAAGATTTAATACAAATATTTATTACTCTAAGCCATTGATGAAATAGGAAAATCAATCTATGCAACCACTTGGAATTACCAACATAATAAAATAAATTACATCTATTTACAAATGAATCTTTAAAAAAAAATATATTGCTGTAGACAAAAGATTTTATACAAACATTTTTTATTTTAAGTGATATGGGCCTGCTCTTGACAGGTCACTAATGTTTCAGACTTTAATTCGATATATATTGAATATGAATGCTACTTAAGAAGAAAAAAAAACAGCGATCTTTTGAACTTCGATTGTCACTTTTTCAGATGGGTCTTTTTAAAATAATCGGATTAATCTGGAGATCGATAGTAAAATTTAAAAAAATCGAGTAAATAAATCAATTATTGTTTTATCATATCTCAATGGGATCAGGCAGCGTAGCGGTGGAAATGGAATAATAACCCACCTGCGCTATCGATATACACTAGCGGGGCACCAGTAAACGATGACTGATGAGGGTGAAAGCGAGTGAGTCAGACCTTCGCGATATAATTCACCAAGAATTTAGCACGATGGTTTCCAGGGGAGACCACGTGTAGGTCGACCTGACGGCATATTATTAACAATGAGTCCGCTAGTCCCCATTACTAATAAGCCATTCCCTCCTCCCCCACATCCTGAGTTACCTAATACCTAAGTACCGGGGAAAAGGGATTGTTAGTGATGAGATTTAATAGCCCCATTGCTAGCAATACACTCCATCAGGTCGACCTCCACGCGGTTCCCCCTGGAAACCATCGTGATTAATTATTGTCAAATTCGTCGCGATGGGCCAACTAACCTGACTTATCCTCACCTATCATCCTTCCCTGGTGCCCCGCCAATGTATACCGATAGCGTAGGCGGGGTTACCATTTCATCTTCACCCATTAAAAAAAACCTAAGTACCGGGGGGAAAGTGATTGTTAATAATGAGATTTAACAACCTCATTGCTAACAATACACCCTATCAGGTCGACCTCCACGTGGTTCCCCCTGGAAACCATAGTGGTTACTTCTTGTTCAATTGATCACCAACTAACTTGCCTTCATCGTCACCTGTCACCCTTCACTGGTACCTTGCCAGCGTTTACCGATAGCGCAGGCAGAGTTACCATTTCTTCTTCACCCATAAAAAAAAACCCAAGTACCATTATCATATTATTTCAGGAAGAAAAAGTAAAAGTTGGGGATTATGACATCAATTACTTAAAAGTCGGGAATGGGCCGCGCAACGTGCTTTGTGTGCCCGGCGCTCTAGGGTCAATATGGACCGACTACGCACCACAAGTGAAAGGGTTCGACCGGGAGAAGTTCACATTGGTAGCGTGGGATCCACCAGGCTACGGGAAGAGTAGGCCACCAGACAGAGACTTCCCCACTGATTTTTATGATAAGGATGCAGATTATGCATATGAATTTATGAAGGTCTGTATGAAATCTTAATTGTATTTATATAATAGATAAAGTTTCCTATATCCTGAAGCTTGCCCAAACGAAGAACTGCTCTTTTGCTCGTCAATATGAATATATTGAATTCTATCGTCTATGCCCGTCTATGATGTAATTACATGCGTGCAAACAGCTTACATAGAAAAAAATTCACTACCACAGACAATAAATAGCGAAAAATTTGAAACAATACGCTTACCTCCTTATGCATAAAAACTAAAATCTTCCGACAGTGCAGGATGCAATGGATGATAATGGAATGGTAACCCCGTCTGCGCTAACGGGATACGCTGGCGGAGCACCAGTGAGGGATGATAGGTGAGAATGAAAAGGCAGGTCAGTTAGCCTATCGTGATAAATTCACTTGGAATAGAACACGACAGTTTTCAGGGGGAACCGCGTGGAGGTCGACCTGACAAGATGAATTGCTAACAATGGGGCTACTAATCCCCATTTTTAACAATCACTTATCCCACCTCTCTATAGTTATAGTAACTATAGAGAAGTGGGCTTCTAATTAATATATCAAAAATTGTTGAAGGCCATAAATCTTCCAAAGTACTCGGTCTTGGGATGGAGTGACGGCGGCATAGTGGGCATGATTCTTGCTGCCAAATACCCCGAATCCGTAGAGAAACTGGTCATTTGGGGTAGTAATTCATTCATTCTGCCCAATGAAATTGAATTATATAACAGTAAGTTGCATATTTTACTAACAAATCATTTAGATCTCAATAATCTTAAAGATATTAGATACTATCTTATCTATCGAATCTTATATACTAATACAAGCTTGGTGTTCCGAAATATTGTTTAGAAAAAGTTAATAGTTCTTTTATCAGAATGAACATTGTAATAAGATACCGAAGGATATTTTGGATCTACCTTTTAATAAATTTTTGAATGACAAATGTGCATGGCGTTAGTCGATCATGCACGGACTATAATGACCATGTAATTTTAGACATAGTATATTTGAATAAATATATATATAACTTTTTTAACCCAGCGGTAGACTTAAAAAAAAAAAACACGATTTAAAAGTGCTTGTAAACAGTTCTATTTGAATAATTTAAATTCTAAACATTCTATTTCAGTTATCTTCTATGTTAATTTTTAATGTACCATTGATGGAAAACATTTTAGTATAAACTTACAAGAAACCCGACTCTAATATAAGAAATGTGGAATAATTTTGGCAACTTTTTTATAGTTGCCATTTTTTTTTACATCTACAGTTAAATATATTTCATTTGCCTTATTATTATTATTATTATTTTTTAATTCATTACAATATACAATTTACATAATAAATCCTTTAGATATATTAATGCTGATGTTATTCTGTACTGAAGTTAGTTCGCATTACTTGAATAGCTATTGACAAATTTAAACATATATTTTACCAGAGGGAGACTTTGTACAAAAGTCTTTGGCATCTCTGTCCCATTCGTGTTTCAACCGTAAAGTAGCTGTGTTTGCATGGCTGAGTTTCAGTTTGAAGGGTGGGATATGGCAGTGTATTTACAGGGTACAGAGAAATAACATCGGAGTCCTTAGGAATGGCAACGCATGGAGGGCATCATGGACGAAACAATATAATACTTCCATGGCACAGCTCAGCTTTTTTTGTTGCATAAAAAAAAAAACATATTATTTACTCATCATTCATTTCCAGATGTGAAAGATATTAGTGCATGGTCTAAAAAAATGAAAGAACCCATGATTGAGTTATACGGCGATAGATTCGCCAGTTATTGGATAGAGTGGGTGGACGGAGTGATCGCTTTGTTCAAAGCTAAGGATGGCAATATATGTTCGGAGCGATTGAAAGATATTAAATGTCCCACGTTGATACTATACGGAGAAAAGGACCCGATGGTGGATAGTGTGCACGCATCACACTTGCACACTAATATTGAAGGCTCAAGGTAATGTAAAGGCTCATGTGGTCACGGGAAGGGGTAGGGATCGCTATCTCTTTTCATCTCATGCATGCGATAGCGATAACGTATCTATTATTAAATTTGTTTGCTTTTTACGATTCATGATAGATACTGAATACTTCTATTAAGACCGTAACACTATAACACTACTTTAGTACTATTATTTATAGGTACTGTGATAGCACTCACGAATAGAAATTTAATACATTTTCAAGGTCACCATTGGCATCATATTATATTCTGTGATGACACCCACGGGAAAATAAGGGGTGGTTGATAATGCGTGAAAATGGAATGGTAACCCCGCCTGCGCTATTCGTATACGATGGCGGGGCGCCAGTGAGAGATGATAGGTGAGGATGTAAACAGGTCAGTTAGCCCATCATGACGAATTCAACAAGAATTAACCACGATGGTTTCCAGGGACAACCGCGTGGAGATCGACGTGATAGGCTATATTGTTAGCAATCGGGCTGTTTTTTTGATGAGTAAAAATGGTATGGTAACTCCGTCTGCGCTAACGGGATACGCTGACGGAGCACCAGTGAAGGATGATAGATGAGAATGAAAACAGGTCAGTTAGCCCATCATGATATCAGGATCTGATCATCAGGAATTAACCATGATAGTTTCCAGGAAGAACTTCGAGGAGATCGACCTGGTTGGGTATATTGCTAGCAATGGGATTCTCAGTCTCCATTACTAACAATTCCTTTCCCCCTTCTGTAATTGTATTACAATTCGCGTTATATCTTTTTTTTAAATCCTCAAAACTACTTTTATTAATTATATACATATATTCATTACTTCAAGCTGTTGAATATTTTTACCCAACTACAGCCAAGTAAAAAGGAGTTATGATTTTGACCTATATGTATGTATATATGTATGTTCTTTCTATTAAAATAGGGCCTATCTAGAATTTCCCTTTTATGAGTATTCCATTTTCAGATTGCATCTGTATCCAGATGGCAAGCACAATATTCACATCAAGTACGCCGAAGACTTCAATAAAAGAGTCCAAGAATTTTTGTTACAACAATAATTTTAAGTTTATTATTGTTATTATTTTAATAATCACGTAATAATCGAACATTTTTTCCAAATGACTTGTTTAATTTTGACAAAATTTGTATGACACCATCATTGTATTTTTTTTTTTTTACTTTATTTAACAGCTTCAAATATAAAAAATAATCAATAAACACTTGAATGGCCAATTATCAATTTATATCACAAACTGAGAATCCATTATAGGGTATAAGGGTAGGTATTACAAGGACTGATGTCTCGATATGCCCGCAATGGCATAAACAACTAAAAAAAAATAAGTATGTATGCCACTTATCACCAGTCCTCGTATTTATAGCGGATGAAACAAAAGAACGTAACAAAATTCCCATATTTTCATTTACTCCTTATTAAGCATGTTTCATTTCTGAATAAAACAATTTACAATAACACAAAATTCAATGTAAAAATAATAATGACTTATTTGTCGCACTGTACAACTGTGAACCGGCGTCTAGGACGCCACAACAGACCTTCATGTATGGCTGAACGATCACACACACATTTGTTCATTAGCATGTTACTGTTTTGACTACACATTACTATGGGCATTTGTTAGTGATAAAAAAAAAGAGATACTAAATAATTTATTTTAAAAATATTAAAAATGACTGATTGAACCTCTAAGTGTGACATGTGACATAAATTATAAATATTAACTAAAATCAATTAAAACATCAGTCAATTACCCAAATAAAGGCGAGTACAAACGAGAGTATTTTTCCGTTGCGTAAATTACGCTTAATTCTATAATTGTGATGTATTACTCCGATCCCCCGACCTTGGATCATTAAAGCGTAGTGTTAAAAATACTTGATCAGCAGGCTTAGTGCGGCCAATAAAAAGACCTCCTCTCTTCAGTTATATACATGTATGAAAACGAAATCAACATCTTTTTAGGGGGTGTTGTAACAAATATTTTCCCCAGAGAAAGACGAGTCAAAAATCAAAAATCTCTAGCCTACACGGCGCGTGCTATCAAGCAGCAGAAAGTAATTTACGGCACACGACAACATAAAATTGGTTCGTTGTCGTGTGACAGCGCATTTACGTTACGCGATGTAAAAAAAAAATCGCAAAATTACGCTCGTGTGGCTTCGCCCTAAATATGCGTCAACAATGTAAACGTGAGTTTCATTCGTGTTAATAAATATTTATTGCCATTATTGCACTGTATATAACGTATTAAAAAAAAAAAACCTGATCTACGATTTCGTATTTTATGTACACAATTTATCTACGTGTAAATGTATAAAAAAATGTTTACATATGTCAAGGCACACGTTATGAGCCGTACGCTTATACGCGCCGCTGCGTACTCCGTTACTGTATATGACTTTATAAATTACGTTTTACAAGTATATAAACAAACACATAAACGGCCTACCTCGATAAATACGTAAGAAAATATCATGGATCATATCAAAATCATTCACTAATTCATGTAAGCTTCTCTTATCTCATAAATAATTTCTCTAGTTACAAAAATAGTATACACTGAATGGAACAACACTAGATATCGCGGGGGGAGCCCCGTCAGCACCAAGTTTACCGCACACCATCGCGCGAGTACACATCCGTACAGAGCTACAAAGTAAGATGAGTCTGCACTGATTTAAAAAAAAAATACATTTTAAATTTCCACAAAGTTCCACATTTGTGAATGCCAACCCTTAAGACCACGACGCTATGTATTTAAATCTGATCGTTAGACAGTCATTAATCTTAAATTGGCGACTAATTCTCAAGTGATAGTAAATACCACTAACAAACCTAATTATATATGAAGTTGGCAACAGAACACACATGGACGAGTTGTATTATATATTGATATATAGTATTACGTTCGATAGAATCGATTCACAACGACAAATCATATGGCAGTGCAGACACAAGCTTATTTTTTTATTAAACAAGAGTTTTAAATAGCTAATTATTATACTAATTATTAAATAACTTATAATTATAATTGTGATGATGAATGTTTGTTTACTTATATTAATATAGTTTTTATTCTATCATGGCATAATAGATTTAGATGAAATTTGGCACATAGCACATAATTATTATGATACATTCCCATGATAATATATATATATATATATATATATATATATATATATATATATATATATATATATATATATATAAACTGTAAGTTGTGTGAAGTTCGCACTCTGTACAGACCTTACTCGAGCCATCAGTGCACTATCCTGATCCATCCTTACATATATTACAATGAAATAAGATTACCCTTACAAATACATAACGATACAATATTACAACATTATCACTGGGATTATTAACAAAATTATTTTTTTTTTCAATTAATTTTAAATAATGTTACGTTCATTATGTTTACGAAAACTAATGTTTTAATAGAGAGAGTCACACACTTTGCAATTGTATAGCTATAAGTTAGTTAGTGTCCGTGTCACTGCGCCCGCGGCCACCGTCACACGTATACGGCGCCTGGATTTTCATTGTCGTCGAGATTGATTTTACTTGTGTATCCATCATCGAAGAACCTACGGAAGGTGAACTCGAAGAATCCGTGGAAAGTTTTGCCATTGTCGAGTAGTTCGCTGTCAGACTTGTTCGAGTCGGCACTACCAGAGTTACGAAGCTTTTCCGGATCTATTGGGTCGAAGTTGGACGTGTCCGTTGGATAATCGATTCTTGGGATATGTGGTGCGGGCTGTCTCCTCAAGCCTTTCTCAAAGTCGATACTTTTCAGGAAGGGATGATTCTTCACTTCGCTGGCGTGGTTGCCGAGCCTTGTCTCTTGCCCAGAACACAACTTGAGGATTAAATCCTTGCTCTCTCGAGACAATTTCGCCGCGTCAGGAATGTGAAGTGTACTTTCCCAATTGATCACCTGTAATGAAACATGTATAATTGTTTTATTATAATTGTTTAATTATAATTGTTTTCACCGCATGTAAGTAGTCAAAGAACAACAAAACAACAGACCTAGTAAACTCTGCTTATTACAAAGAAAGAAATAAATATGTTTATTTACATAAACATAGATTTAAGCATTTTTGAACGGTAATTTTTTCATTACTACCCATTAGAAATGCAACTTCAGCCAAGAAGAACGGACAAAAAACTCATCTGTTGCATTTTACAAAAATACTAAATATATAAGTAATGAATTTGTATAAATACAAACTACTAAGCAGTATCAGATCATATAATTAAAACAAATCAATAAAATAAATCGGTTGCAGTGACCAGAACAGACCAGTCCCTGCAGGCAGTACCCGTTCACGAGTATGACGGATGAGCCAGCCATCATTGCGCTCACCCATATTTTAGTGAACTCAATAACCCGGCCCACCACGCCACCACGCCATCACCTGTCTGGACATTTCGTTATAGTCGTAGAATACTGACGGATCTTTATATGTAATCTTTGTCAGATCCGTCAGTATTCTACGACTATGACGATTTTAGTTAGCATGACTTACTCAAAGCCCCCAACCACGTTATAAAGAAATTTAAATAATTTTATACCACATATCAGTTCCAGTATCCACACTTTACAAAACAATAATTAAAATCAACGTATATGTCACATAACATACAATACACACTAAACAAACTCGGTCAAATTAGGAATTCCTTCCCTTTTTAAATCTATTACAAAATCATAAACTGGCTAACGCAATTTTTTTTTTAATTAATGATAATGGTAATACCACTTGTAAGTAAATTATGGTATACGCTGGTGGAGTACCCAGTGGGATTTGAAAGGTGAAAATGAAAAGGCAGAACAGTTACCTCATTGTGATAAATACACCTGGAATTGAGCACGATGGTTTTTAGGAGGGACCACTTGAAGGTCGACCTGCCAAGGTACATTATTAGCAATAGGACTGACAATCCATATTACTAACAATTCCCTTCTTCTTGGCATACCCAGTTGACGTAACCAATATGAGACCTCCACAGAAATAAAAACAAACAATCATAAAACTTCATTTTTCAAATTGAGCTAACCAAGAATATGAAGACATCTTATAACTTAGCCGTGTGGTCCTGGCTCGAGTCGACTAAAGGAGGGCGAGTGATGAGCAGCATCATCCCTCTTAAAATATGTCTAAACTGGCAACCCCCCCCCCCCCGGGGGGGGGGATCTTAGCTTCAGCAGTGGACAGTTAAAGGCTGATATGATGATAATGCTGAGGATCTTAAATCATACTAATGTAGCTAAAAAATATTCAAACAAACCTTGAGTTGCGTCTCCGCCGGCGTAGGTGCCAAGAAGGGCGGCGAACCCACGAGCATCTCGTACAGTATGACCCCCACGGACCACCAGTCGCATAGCTGCGTATATCCAGTCCGTTGCAGTACTTCAGGCGCGATGTAGTTGGGTGTGCCAACAAGTGAATGGGCCAAACATCGCTGGTGCTCGCGTCTCCGCCGCCTCTCCAGCGGCTTGAGCTGATGACAGCGGCACTCGCCCATCGCGCCCCACTCCCCGTCCACTGGGTCCATAGAGTCCTGCCGCCCGTGATCTGGAAATAGCAGAATATTCTTTGAATAATCATTGTATTATACAAATACAGGTGATAAGTCATTAAAATCATAATTAAATCATCATAATGATCAGAAATTGAAATTGCTAAAACTACAATATTTGCTTGTGACAAATTACGATTATTAAAATGACATTAAAAACCTCGGTCAATACAGTAAAAACTACCAAAAGTAACCTATCACCCACACTATGTTAAATTGCTTTTTAATTGCCTAAAATTTTTTCCCCTTCGCCTTTTTGTTTACAACTTATTGAATTTTCTTTCAGGGAAACTGTACATGTTATTATTTGGTAGAATATAATAAGGTAGAATATAGCAATTTGAAAGGTAACGCAAACATACATTCACATTTTATTAAAAAAAAAAACAAAACTTTTCATGTACCAACCTCCCAGTCGAAGGGCATTATAGAGTGAAACTATTAAGAAATTATCCCCTTAATAACTTAAAAAATAGGCCAAATAACCAATTTTATTCAAAGACTAAAAAGATCTAGAAATGCTCACCATTCCGCTGGTAATATTTAGAATTATGCGTCCACCTGAAACCCGTACATAAGCCGAAATCTGTGAGCTTGATGTGGCCATCACGATCGATGAGTATATTATCTGGCTTGATGTCTCTATGTATGAAGCCCATTTTATGAACACTCTCCACTGCACACGTCAGCTCCGCTATGTAGAATCGTGCCAGGTTCTCTTCGAATATACCCAACTTGATCAACAATGACATTAAATCTCCACCCGGTATGTAGTCCATGACGAAATACAAGTTGTCCTTATCTTGAAAACTATAGTATAACTTGACCACCCACTCATTATCGGCCTCCGCTAAAATATCCCTCTCAGCTTTAACGTGCGCCACTTGATTCCGTTTCAACACATCAGCTTTCCTAAGTGTCTTCATGGCATATAGATGACTAGTATCAATCTTCTTCACAAGTGTCACTTCCCCAAATGCACCCACACCGATGGGCTTGATTTTTGTGAACATGGACTTATCCATTTTTGCCCTTTTCAACCTAATGTAATTTGATTCCTTTTGGGAAAGCATCTTCCTCATTTGGCACTGTGCTTCTGCGCTGAGGCCTATTTTGGTCATTTCCTTTTCGAGCTGCATTCTTCGGAACGTCCGCTGCTTGTACGACTTCAATATATTTTCGACATGTTGTTCCATAAAGAACTTAAACGCCTGTGGGGAATAATTCCTTACTTTACAGTCCCTTCGCTCATCCTCTTTTTCTTTACTAATATTTTTACGTTCAGGAATAGGTGACTGGTGTCGTATCTTCTCTACTTTCGGTCTCCGTTCCGAAGAGCCGTTCGAGCTCTTATCGGAACCGGAAGCAGCAGTCGTTTCCTTTAGGAGATTATTGGTGCAGTTTTGATTGGGACATTTTATTTCTAATGGGCCTTGGGACGTTTCACCCTTTATATCGCAATTGTTTGAAAACTTTTTATGTAACGGCGAGTGGTGGGAATTGACTGTTGTTGTATTGTCGTTTTGATTACCATATGGTGGAGGGGGTATCGGGTGCATTCCTCTCTGCACGGCGAGAGCTTGCATAGTTATAGCGTAACTTGGAGGCTCAGTGGTGGGAACGGTGGGTGTGGTTGCTGTCATTATGACTGGCGGAGTAGATCCAGGAGAAGACGGTTTCGGAGCTAATGGGTAACTTGGTGGTGTTTGAGTTTGTTGTTTTTGTTGGATGGAGCTAGCATACGAGGGTGGCGGCGGCTGTGCTGCCGAGCTCGCGACGGGCGGTGGGGCAACTGGCGCGATGGCCGTCTGCAGAACAGGCTTTTGAACTTGTGTACTTTTTACCGATTGCATTATAATGGGAGGTTGAACCGCTTGTCTCGCTGTCCACGCCTGAATAGGCGTGGGGCGAGTCATACCCGATGCCGAGCCAGTCGATTGCGTCACCGTAATCGGGCTCGGCGAGCCGGCGGAGGTACCTCCCGAGTAGATACCTGATGAGGGACTCTTTCTGTAATCTTGCGACTGTGTCGGACTTTGTCGATTTTGTATTGAAACAGAATAAGGTGGGGGTGGCGGTACTCCAGAAAGAGGATAAGGGGGTGGAAGTTCTGCTCCGCCTGCCCCGGAAGGGTAAATGCTCAAAGCTTGTATCTGCTGATTGAGCTGCTGTTGTACTTGTGGCCCGTTTTGTACAATCATTGGTTGCCGTGCTGGAGGAGTAGGTGCTCCGGAGGCCACTGGACTTGTGCCTCTCGCGGGGGGTAACGGTGGTGCTGGCGACATACGCTTCATTAACTGCTGCATTGCAGCTGGCACAGGGGGCGTTGAAGGACATCGTGGCGGAGGTGGTGGAGGAGGTTCAGAAAAACCTGATGGCGAGTATTGTCGACTTAATTTCTCATGTGGCAGTGGTGGGGCATCAGGTTGCCTAGGACTATCGGATCTAGAACTTCCAGCACCGGAATCTAGGGCAGGGCTGCCTCTATGAAGGTTGAGTTCGCGCTCTAAACTGGGTTTTCTTATAAGTTTTGTGCTGAGTGCACTAAGATTGCTTGTCTTGAGAACTCCATTCAATGGCTCCTGCTGTTTTGTTAAATGGTCAAGGGCAGCATCTAAACGTCCTCCAGTATATTTTAGAGCCCTTAGTGCCAAATCCTGTGGAACAAAAGAAATGCATAACTTAAAGACAGCATCTTTTTTAGTAAACCTAGTGCTATTTGCAAATTTTAAATTTATACATCTTACATACAACTTACAGGAAGATATTGTGATTCAATTAACAATTTCTTTTTCTTACTGGGAATTGTATCTCTATTTTTTACGAATATAGTAGAATATTAAACTCATTCTACTATTTTTTCCTAAACAATAAATTAATGATTCTGCATTTATGCATTATCATAAAATACATTTATGTTAATTAACCAACATATTATTCAATTAATATTCAAAAATTACAGTATTAAGTAAACTTTTTAATGGATGATAATGGAATAGTAAGCCCGCCTGCGCTAACGGTATACACTGACAGGGCACCAGTAAGGGATGATAGGTGAAGATGAAAGCAGGACAGTTGGCCCATAGTGATGAATTCATAAAAAAAACAATCAAAATGGTTTCCAGAGCGAAATGCATGGAGGTCGGCCTGATAAGGTATATTATTAGCAATGGGACCTCTAGTCCCATTACTAACAATCCCTTTCCCCCCTGGTATTAACTGCAATAAATATAGCCTACGTCACTCAGGGTGAATGTCGCTTTCTAAGGATGAAAGAATTTTTGAAATCGGCAAAGTAGTTTTTGAGTTTTTTCATTACAAACAGACACACAAAAATACAAATCTTTCCTCTTTATAGTTTTTAGTGTAGGTGTAGAATGCTTTGCTTCAGTTTATATAACTTTTTTCTAATACACGAAATAATAAATCTAAGAACATAATATAATGTACATTTAGCCAGTCCACAAGGAAATGGCTACAAAGTCCCACTTTTTTTCCTTGATTTGCTTTACTAACATTGTGATTTCGTATTGAAAACTAATTTTGTTTTTGGTTTTTTAAGTTCCAAGAGTAAGTCGTAATTTTAAAATATTTTCACATATAAATATATATGACATATTTGTTACATACTTTAATTAGTGTTTTTTATTACCCTTAACTCTGTGTGTTTGTATAAATAATTGTGAAAAAATACACAATATGTTCCTCAGTAGACATTTAACTACTGATATCATCACATTACATACATACATACATATATATCCGTCACACTTGTCTCCATTATAAATTATATTTATTTTAATAACATTGATTTTTTAAACATCAGCTTTTTTTTTATACAACTTAGAATGGCAAACAAGCTGAAGGCCCACCTGATGGAAAATGGTAACCATCGCCTATAGACATGAGCAGTACCATGGAAATAACAGAGTATACTGTTTCACCCATGATACTCGCCATGCGTTGCCATTCCTGAGGACACAGGTGTTCCTCTGTACCCTGTAAATTCATGCCATATCCCACCCTTCAAACCGAAACACAGCCATGCAAACACAATTATTATTATCCCAAATTACAGCACCAAAACACAAAGTTAGGTGCTTGTTTGATTAACTTGTTCCTTATTTAATGCTACTATCAATTATTTTTGTTATTGACACATCTTGATTAATTTTAAAACATTAGTTGCTTACATTTATATAATTATTTTAAATCAAGGTTATTAGTCATCAATGCATTTATATTATTTATACTTATTGCAACTATTTTCCTATACAATTTAAATGAAATAATTTTTCATACAATATTTGTTTAGTTGGCTGAGATTAAAATCTCATGATACATTTATGAGACTGCACTTAGAAAACCAATCTCTATTTCATAGAAAGACAATTATTAGTAAAACTCTAATAAAATTAATATGTATGATGTAAATGGTAGTGTATAGAAAAATTCCATCTTATATTAACTATATTGTAAAGCTCACCCAGTTGATCAAATAAATAAACAATTAAACTTGAGTAAAATTCCACACTGAGCTTTGAATATTTTAGCATTGCTGAGGCATATTCATACAGGTATATTTATAAGCTATATTTTGATCCAAAACTATTTTTTTTTATACTACTTAGAATGGCAAACAAGCTGACGGCCCACCTGATGGAAAGTGGTAACTGTCACCTATAGACATGAGCAGTACCATGGACATAACAGTACACACAAATACTGTTTCGCCCGTGATACCTCCCATGCGTTGCCATTCCTGAGGACTCAGGTGTTATTCCTCTGTACCTTGTAAATTCACACCATATCCTACCCTTCAAATCGAAAAACAGCCAAGCAAACACAACTGCTTCACGGTAGAAACACGAATGGGACAGAGGTACTCAAGCAATCGACTTTTGTACAAAGTCTCCCTCTGGTATACTATTTATTGTTAATTTGTTTTGAAATTGGTTAAAAATAGGCAAATAATTGTGCTAGATTAATTTTTCAAAGCAAAAAATGGGTATATGAAATTTGCTATAGAAATTGATTATAGTAGTACATGAAAACAATAAGCTAAATGAGGATTTAATTTTGTTTGAAATTTCACAGACAGTGCTAATGTATGATACAAATATATATTTTTATTCATAATAAAAAATTAATTATGTTATAAGTAGGTATAATTAGTAGACCAAACTAGTATTTAATTCAGTTAATGAAAATAGACATTTATATTATTATGTTATTGTAGTTAAATCAATTATACAAGTAATCTTTATTTACAAACAAAACTATAAACACAAACTTGATTTTGACTATAGTTTTCCAGACTATAAACTGACATCTATCCCTACCATAGTTACAATTATTTATAACTATTATATAGAAAAAAATACAATGATATTTATGAATCAAAATGGCTACACATTTTTGTGAATATATAAAAATATAAAAATTCTGTTTCACAAAAAAAAAACTATCCTCAGTGGTGGCAAAACAAATTATTTTGATTTAAACACTAAACTCTTTAATTTGTAAGTAAAAAAAGAAAATTAGAAAAATATTTATAAATTGGAAAAGGATAAAAACATCATATTCTAAATATTCTCAAAAAAAAAATTAATAGAAAATATAATTTATACTGAAAAAAATTAATTAAGCAGTTTGTAATTAAAATTTAAGTATCTATATTTAAAAATAATATTTACCAGTTTTTCCTGTCACTGATTTAATAACTGTATAACTTAATGATATATTTATTACTTTTTTTTAACAAAACATTTATTACTTTATTTATTTATCAGTCAAAATTTAAACCTCTTATTTATAAAAACCTCAACCATAAAATACTAAAGGGGGTTAGGGCTGTAGCCCCTTAACACAGGTTATTATATTAACCTATTTAGGAACCCAGTTTTAAAACCACAACTACTGTACCCATTCTAAATTATAATATTAATATTTAGTTAAAAAACTATAGTTATGTTTAATAGAATAAATCTCATTTCATTTCATATAATAACCCTATTTTAACTATTGAACTTTTCTATACATCTAACCATGCAAAACCAATGTATATCACTATTTATGAATAAAGCAGTGAAATCACAGAATGATATTACTTATTATCAAAGTATTTGTGAATCATTAGCACATAATATACATACCTCATCATATCCCAAAGCGATGAGATGATTGACAGATTGTGAGGGCACATTCAAATCTTTATCAAGCCCATTGACAGACGATGCACTGAAACCGGAGCTCACTCCCGAACTTACAGTACTCGCAGCTGATGAGCCAGGGGGCTCAGAATTTCCAATATTAGCAAATGGTAGTAGAGAATTGCGAATTTCGGCGAGCGCTTTCTGGTGGTAACCTGAGGAGCGCGTGGCCGTCTTGCCGGGCGCCGGCGGGTTCATGGCGCCCGCGCCCGAGCGCCTCACCTCTCACCCGACCCCTCCCATCACATGAGCACACCCACCCATCCACACATACCCGCGGGCACAATTTGCATTTACACACACTTGAATACTATTACACCGTGATAACGTTCGTCACAGATACTGTAGAGGTAGAGTCCTTCTGTTTTTCACAGTTCACTGTTTCCTAACATTGTTTCTCTTCATAGCACATTGAATCGTTTTGTAACACTGAAAGTAAATGATGTATTAAACACTGGCATTAATCTAATACTACACAATTAAATGATACGAATTGTTATTGTAAAACAATTGGTCTAAAAACGTCAATCAAGTAAACTAAACTCATTTTTAATAGCAGACTTGTTGAACTACTAAAAGCGGAAGAAAAATATCATAACATTATTAAATATAATTCACTGGGGGTAGGCAATTCATATTCACGAAAAGAATGTTCAACATGAATCTATCATGACATAGAAGTGTGGAATGCCAAAATTAGAGACTGCTTTGTTTAGTACGGGCACCTACTTCATATCTAAGTTTAGATGCTTAAAAATATGAGAAAATTTAATTACCTGAGACACTTTATATTCTTAAAATCAAATAGGAATCACAAACGTCATAATCCCGTAAAATAAAAATGATAGACGAGAGCTCTCACATTACCGATGACATCTTTCTTGCAAAGCACTAGTTACGTTTATGTGATTAATGTCAATATATAAATTAAACAACAGATAAATTAAGTGTACTTTTGTCTAAATAAAGCAATAAAGAAACAATTACGAAAACAAAGAACTATGAAACACAGACATGCAAGTTGGCAAACCATACAAAGCGACCATTTTGAAGAATTACCACATTCTTTTGTATGTTCAGAAATAAACAGAGAACTCAGATGCGCTTGTTAATACAAGTGTGTTTTCTAGCTGTAGAAGAGAGATTGACAATAAAAATTAAAAAAATCTTTAAAATAAATTTTAAATCTAATTAACTCTAAATTCAAATACAATTTAAATCATAATATAAAAATATTTTCTGAAACTTTTGGAAATGTTAGTATCAATATTGAATTTCTGAACATAGAGGTCTCTTTTCTTTTTTTTTACGGTTAATCAGAGATAAAGAACTCGGTATTAAGAAGCGGAAACTGTGCATACTTTTAAATTTATTTCCTTTGTTCATATAGAAAAAATAATCCTTGTTCTTTGAGAAAAACATAAGTTTATTTTTAAGAATGTATTGCTCATTTTAAAAAAACGGTGCCAGTTTAAAATATCGTTTTATTTTTCAAGTAATATTCACATACACTTTTATAGACCGCAATTATTTTAATTTTTTCGCTTCAGAAACTTTGAAGAGGATAGTTATTCACTCACATTTTCGATCATAACTGAAAAACTACGCCAAATAAAAACAAATAAAATATACCAATGAAGCTATTTTATGTAATATGCTACTTGGTCTAATACATTTTTGCGTTGATTATAAACTGCTTTATGTCATCACTAAAGCAGATATTTATTTTAAAGTGTGTAGACATCGAATGGAAACATTATACATAAATTACACAACATACGTTTATTATCGAAACGGAGTTACATTTGAATAACCAGCGTAAGGGCGCGAGCCAATGCGTTGTGTATAGATGTTTTCAGATCCAGTTCGTAACTGTCTTAGCGACAACAGCGCCGCTAAGTTAACGGCAGTGCACTGGAAGGCGACGCGCGCGGGGAGGACGATCGGAAAGGGGATTTACTTGCGGCTGTTGCGCGGTGGCGGTTTTAGACGCCCGCATTACAATTAGAAGCCACACATTAAGGAACGCCTATAGTCAATAGAGAAGGATTGCATCATGAGTACGCTCAATTTGCCCTCTAGTTACTGGCAAGTGTCTCTGCGAAAGGAGAATAGAAATAAAACTATTTTTATTTCTCCTAGCAGCTAACTGGCAATATATACCCACATGCTCTTTGACCTAAAACAATAACCACCTACCTTTCAAAGACTGATCGATCGCCTAGGTTCCTGTCAAGGTAAAATATTATTGCAAACCTGCTCGTGGTTTAGAAAGTGTATTTCTACAAACGAAGAAAAAATAATCATGGACTTGCAGTCCAGATTAATCAACTGCATGCAATGAGTTAAAATGCTTATTTACTACAGCTCCAAGATTAATAGAGGCAAATTTCAAATATCTTTTTATAGTGCATATTAATGCTAGCAAGAGAAACTTTTACCAGCTACTGTCCACTGAAGGCAACTAATAAAAAATCAGTTTGTATTTGTAGATTTTTCTTGGGTGTAGTACTTTCTATCCAAAGTTTCAATAAATAAAAACAAAATGTAGTAGCAAGCTAACTACATACTCCGAATATCAGGTTGTGTATAATTTAGTTCCTTTGCCTTTCCCATTGTAGATAAATTAATATTACTACTATTACTAATTGACAGCTGTCAGTATGTCATCGGTTTGCTTTCATTTTATTATCGAGTTATAACTTGTTCTGTTTTTAGTCTCACAAATTTATAATATTTTCATTCATTCTATCTTGTGATAAAAGATGAAGAAAAAGCGATTTTAATTAAGATTAGCAGCTTTGGATTAGTTAATAGTTGTTGGTTCATACATGCGGGAAGATCTGTTCATGACTCTTTGGCTTAATGGTCTGACGCAGCTTGTTTCCTCTCCTACGCGAATACCTGATTTGGACCATTCACCTTCACTGTTGGACCTTCTGCTGACCACCCACCCAGACAACTTGTGATTTCCGTTGAATTTAAATACTGCTTTGATTAGTTAATAGTGGATGCTTATACATGCAAAAGTGGAGTGTATTTTTTATATAATTAAATAACTTGCAGAATGCGTAAAAAATTGGCAACGTTATGTTTTTTATTTTTGCCATATTTTGTTGCTCTTGAAGAAAATCCGGTTTACGAATATAACCCAAATAATTTTAAACAGCAAATCGAAGAAATGGATGGTAACTTTGTTATGTTCTATGCTCCGTGGTAAGCATGTAAACCTTAAGGGTATCCACTGACCAAATAGTGCTAACTGAACACATTCGATTTTTAAGTAATTTTTTTAATCATTTCTTATAGGTGCCGACATTGTACAGTTTTTCTTCCGATATGGCATGAATTAGCTGAATTAGTAAATACAAAGGGATCAAAATTCGCAATAGCGCAAGTGGATTGTACATTGCATCACAGACTATGCCATGAATATGAAATAACAGGTACAAATTATTCATTAATTTCTTTTACAATTTTAATATTATTATTATAAAAATTTGAGAATCTAGTAATAGTGTTGATTATTTGCAATTAAAATATAGCCATAGACTGATATATGGGTTTCTATAATGTTTATATTATTTTAATAATTTTTCATGTAATTGTCTATTATTATTACTATCTATCATCATCATATTAGACTTTAACTGTCTTCTCAGTAGTTGCCACCCTTAGCAGGAGGATTGGAATCCACAGTTAGGCCTTGAAGATGTCTTAAGAGACATGCTGCTGCTCATCCCTCACACTCCCTTAGTTGTCTTACAATGCCCATGGGAAAGAAATGGATGGCCTATTCCATGCCAAGATCATACAGCAAATGATTACTATCTATATTATTTTATTATTATAATATATATATTGAATTACAGGATACCCAACATTATTATATTTTCACAAAAACATATTCATACCAATGGAATACAAAGGCACAAGAGATCTACCCTCTCTGACATTATTTTTAAGTGAAGCCTTTACAATGAAACCAGAAGTAAGTTTTTTTTTTTTTTATAAAACATGATGTAGCTAGATTCACACTGTAATTGTAGTAGTGGTTGATTGTTGGTCTCATTTCAATTTGATGATCTATCTGACAAGCCAGGTCTTTTTCAATCACAATTAATCTCAAAGTGTGTTTACTTATCAGACTGAGATGGAACTGTGATGGCCATTATAATGTGAAATTGGATTAATAAATTTTAAAGTATCTTTTTACTTATTTTTCCTTCTTCATAAATAATCAAGATGTCATATCTATAGTTATAATGCAATGAATTATGGTTAAATAAAAGTTAATAAATAATTATAAATATATAATTACATAAATTATTTAATATTGTAAATTATTATCTTATTTTTAAACAACTTATTTCTTTAATGATTTATACATTATTTAAATAAGATAGTTGGGAAATAGACAAGATACTGATAATATTAATAAAATTCAAATAATACAATTGAATAAAAGAACTTTAAAAATATGGTACTGTGTATAATGTATATCATAATAAAATATCTAAACTATGCATTTTCTTTTTCTTTTTTTATTATCTGTAAAATGTATTCAGTTATTTTCAAATATGGCATACAATAAGATTTTGATTTTGTATATTAACTAAGAATATAATTATGTCATTTCAGGGCAAAAAATCTATGAAGGAATCAAGTGAAGTAAAAATATACAATGGCATGGCATACTTGACTGATCAAAATATTGAGAAGTTTGTTTCTAAGGGGCAACACTTTATAATGTTTTATGCATCATGGTGTAAAGTTTCACAGGTTAGAAATTATATGTTCACATGCTCTACCAATCCACAAATTAATAAGAAGAATAAAACAACAAATGCTATAAATAGCATACTTTATGAATGTTAGTAGTTTAATGAATGAAACAAAAAAGACTTTTTCGATTGTAGTGCTCCATTAGTTCTGTAGAAATTGTACCTACTATGTTCCATTTCATCTTTATTTTATTTTATATATCACATACAGAAAAAGCCTGATCTTATAAAAAAAAAATGTTATAAGACAATGTCTGTACATGGTAAATATTTAAGAAAAATTCATATGAGGGTTTTAAGGATAAGAATCAAAACAATAATAATAAAGTCTCTTTATTCTCATATCTTGCCCCTGTGGTCCTGGCATATAATAGGCCACCCATTCTTTCCTATGGGTGTTGTATGATGTTGGGCAAGGGATGGGAAGTGTGTCCCTCTTAAAACATACCCAAAGTCTAACTGCAGTTGCTTAATCTTGCTCCCAAACAAGTTAACTATTGGCAAAACCCCTCAATGATGAGGATTAAGTTCAGTACTAAGTAGTTAAAGGCTGATATAATGATAATATCATCCATAAATTACTATCAAAGGTTGTAATTCCGATGAAATGATTTTTAAAAAGGTGTGTAAATATGAAATTTACACACCTACAAATTACAAATTCTTTCTGTTTCTCTTTCATTTCATGTAATTTCTTTTACATTTACAGAAGATAGCGCCAGTTTGGGCGGAACTAGCGGCGCATTACGCTCATAATGAGTACATACAAATAGGAAAGGTAAACTGCATGGACAGTGAGATGACATGTAAAAACTTCGATATTAAACAGTACCCGCACCTTCTGTGGATTGTTAATGGTAGAATTGTAAGTATCTATACCTAATGCCGTGTGGTCCCGGCATAGAATGAGATACCCCTTCCTTAACTGTGGATGTCGTAAATGGTGACTAAGGAAACTTAATAGTCGAGGCATAAGCAGCAACACGCCACTTTTAACATTACCAAAGCATAGTTGCGGTTGCAAACCCGCTTACCAAGCATGGCAGCTATTGACTAAACCCCCCTAATAGGGGGAGCCCTATTCAGTGGATAGTACTTATTCTTTATTATTCTATGCCCACCAGTAAAAAAATAATAGTTATAGTGGGAATGATTCATATTTATGGCTTATTTCATCTCACTATAAAATCAATTAAAAGAATTGTTCCTTATGATGTAACTTCACAAATATTTTTTTTTTTTGAGAATTCTGAATAAAAGGCAACTTCTTTTTAAATTTTTCTTTGTACCTTACATTTTTTAGATGGGATTAGCAGATGTAGTGGATTTAGATGATCTCAAAATGTATGTGGAAAAAATGTTACTATCTGAAAATCATGACCCCGAGAAATTTATGAAGAAGAAGAAGGCATTGCCTGTGGCGAGGATATCCGAGGAGACATTCGAAACATTCCTAGAAAAGGATTTGGTGTTTGTCAACTTTTTTGCCCCTTGGTAAATTATATTTTTTTATATTTATATAGTTGCTTATACATAACGGCCCAAAAAAGAGCCTAAACACGGAAAAGAAAATCGACTTTACATCTACATTACATCTAGTAACTGCTACTAATATAGATGTCTCTTAATTTTTTATTCAGCCTTTTTTCATGAAGGAATTGCTTTTAGTTAAAGACTGCCCATTGTTTACTATCTATCTCTCTATATTTTGCAATAAATTTACTACGTTCTGAGATAAAATGTCACATCACGCATACAATTGGCAATGCACGATCAAATTGTAGCGTTGCAAATGCTCATAAATTGTATCAGGCGAGCTGTATGCATTTTTGTCCTCGTTGTCTAGTATAGACTGCCAACAATGTGTTTATTATCAACAGATTTCAGAGGTAGGAAAACAAAATAGTCAACTTTTAGATGACGTATCACGAAAAAACATTCACATTTTAAATTAAACCTTCAGGAATACAACTGTGAAAACCACATCCAATTTGGTGAAATATTTTTTAAAAAATGCCAGAATAAATATACATACAGACAAAAATTTCTAAAATAATATTGTTTGCCTTATATTGGTCTTCTATAAAATCCCTCATAATTTTTTATCAAATATATGTAGGGAACCCCTCGGACGGGGAACTCACCAGTTAGGAGTCTTCACAGGTCCTGGGGTCAAGCCGGGTGTTGGTCGGTGCGTGTTTGGGCGGTAAAGTTATTTACACTGAAAGAAAGTTTTACGACGTACACGAACGCGGCTAATGGCGATACCTCAGCGGAGTTCGAATTCGACGCCGGGTACGAATGAGCGCGTGCGCATAGCGAGTAACTGAGCGAGCGACTGATTGCTGAAGCAGGCGATGTTCGGCTTTGTCGCTAGGGACGACAACGCGATTGCTAGGGATAGGATTAACCTCGACTGTTATACATATAATTAATAAGATTTATCAAAGCTCATAGACTACTATCAAGTAATAATATAATCATAAAATTCTATTTCAGGTGTGCACATTGTATGCAACTAAGCCCTCTATGGCTAAAGCTTGGAGAGAAATTCCAAAACGAAACCCGTGTTCTGATAGCTGATGTGGATTGTGTGCGGTCCAAACAAATTTGCGAGACAGAAAAGGTAATTATTATGAATAATTTACAGAGATGTTCAAAAACTTAAACCAGAAATTTTTGAACATCTCTGTAAATTATTGATGCCCATTAATTCTTCTCTTTCCGCGTCTAGGGAAGGTAGATAAAGTTTTGTTTGAGAAATCAGTTCAGGGTACAATAGGACTGATATACCTGAAGAAGGTAAAAGCCCTTAAAATATTTAAAAAAAAAAATGTCTCTATATTTATGTCCAATCTCAACAAGGGGTGCTACTTAATGTGAAACATAATTTATTATCTTGGGTTCCATTTGTGTGTCTGCCGTGAAGCTATTCTGTTTGCATGGCTGTTGCGGTTCGAAGTGTGGGATATGGCAATGTAATTACAGGGTATAGAGGCATAACATCTTAGTCCTCAGGAATAGCAACGTGTGCAAGGTATCATTGGTGAAACAATATACTGTGTTATGTCAATGATATCATGTTTATAGCCGACGATTACCACTTTCCATCATATGGGCCGTCAGCTTGTTTAACATTCTAAATTGCATAAAAAAACTTCGTGTCAACTTAGCAGTTTAATATGTAGGCTACCAATCTACATTCTCAAACCTACACAGGTACAGAAAAAAAATTATACTATACATATTAAGTACTTAAAAAAATTATAGATATTTTATCATACCGGTGTTTTATTTTTCATTCATCTTATATATATATATATATATATATATATATATATATATATATATATATATATATATATATATATATAAATTGGTATTAATCTCAATTTTATTAACAAATTATAAGAAACTAATTGATCCAAGCTGTAGATCATTGTAAGTAGAAAAAACAAAGGTCGCCTAACAAATAATAATAATGATGTGTGAAAATGGGCTTTTTAAACGTTCAAACTATTCATGATCGTGATGCCAGAGCCAATTATTCGTTTCGTTTAAATTTTATTCAAATAAATAATTTGTCCAACCATAAGACAGTTCGAAAAGTAGTACAAATAAAAAATCATATAATTGTTTAAATGTTTGTATTTGTATTTAATTTAAAGATTGTTTTAATAAAACTTGGTTACCATTTCATTAGGGGTTCTATTGAAATATTCTATAAAGTATTTTATTCATTTATCATTCACAAGAATTAATTTGTTTTTAGATTAATGGGCTTCCCACTTTAATTTTGTACAAATATAAAAAGATAGTGAGCGTCGAACACGGCGGTCGACCACTAGAGAGTCTCATTACACTGGTCAACGAACATCTACAGAATTCAGAAGATGCACCGGCCTCGGATGAGATCGTCAGTAACGAGGAAAACAAGTCACAGATAACCAAAGATGAACTATAACGTAATTGTAAATAAATAAAATTAACTTATCGTAATTGCATGTTTTATTTCTTTAGTCTCTCTGCTAGTTCTGGGTTAAATTCTCTTTCCTTACTAACGGGAGAATTGACTTGTCATAAGTCAGTATTTAGTCAACTGACTAAATCATTGCACGATGTTTGTGTTTTACTCATAAAGACAATTTGGGCTTATATTTATTTCTGCCATTTATTTTCCATGACCATTCAACTTAAACAATTTTTAAGTTTATATTTAAAATTCATCACACTCTTCAGGAAATACTAGGTTATAACATGCATCCAAACATACATACAATGACATCATCCACCTATCTTCAGCTATTGGGTAAAAAATAAATAAAGTTAGACTCTAATTTTTATTTTAAAGATATTATGAAACATTATTAATTGGTGCATTATACCATTAAAATATTAAGGTGGTTGTTGATTACTAAACAAAATTGGATGTAATATTAATGTTGCTAGAATTGAGACTTGTTGTTTTTGTTTATTATTTTGTTCAATTTATTTTTTACCAATATAGTAACAAAATTATCATATTTTTTTTCTTTATTCTCATGTACAACTTTGTAAAAAAAAACATACTAGCAAGAAACATTGTAATTGTATGGGGTACATTTCATTTGGGAAAAGATAGAAAAGAAAGAAAGGTATTATCCATTACTTCATATTCATACTTAAAAATAAAAAGCACTTGACAGTTTAGAAATTTAGCTTTAAATTATCTTTAATTGCAAAATAATCAACAAAAACCATAAACCGTGATTCCAGCGCCATCTAGTATTTCTCAAGTCTAATTTTGTTCAGTGACCAACTAACTTAATGGTAATCTTATAAAGTATAATTGGAAGGAAGCTTCAAATATATTTATGGAATTCTTACAGGACCATTGCCATTATTAAAAAAGATAAACATCCATTGCTAACTCACTATGTCAATGCTTATTAGAAATGTGGCATTATATGCCTTAATTGCATAGACAATAAACTAGGCATTAAATTTTTTTATTAACAGTATGCAACTGGAAAAACTCTCCATCTGCTCTTGTAGCCAGTTTGTTGATCTGTTTGTGTCTCTCCTTTGAGACTATTTCTTCTAAAACCTCCCCGTCACCTTTTATTAACCTGAAAACAAGATAGAACTGAGAAGCAGTATAGAAAATAATTAGGCTAAATTAAAATTTGATTACTGTAATTTACTTTGACTAGTAATATAATATGTAAACATAAAGTGTTACCATAGGTGACAAGGTATACTGTGTTATATCCACAGTATTGTTCATGTTTATAGGTGATAGTTACCACTTTTCATCAGTTGGGTAATCAGCTTATTTGCTATTTTAAGTTGCATAAAAATATATACTAGCTATCTCCTGCAGTGTGTATTAGTAATAAAGTATCCTATGTATTAAGATATAATCTACTTTTGTGCAAAATTTCATTCAAATCCATTCAGCTATTTATGAGTAATTGAGTAAGAAACACAAACATGTATACAAACATTTTACATTTACTTGTAAGTAAAATTTTTACTATTAAATATTAATTAATATACTATTATCACATTTTTCTTAAAAGGTAGATGAAGACAAAATTGCCAAAGATCTCTATCCATAGACACATCATTTAGTTCATATGCACATTGGTATTGAAAAATTTTAAAAACACAACATATCAACCATTTTGATGATTAAAAGTAACTAACATAATTATAAAAAAAAAAACATTAATATAAATAGATATTATGTTGCCATTAAATAAAGTTTATACATTTATCAAAATATAACGACTAAAATTAAACAGTGAATAAGAATGATAGGATAACCTGTGTCTGCCAGTTTCTTCATCCAAGACCCTACGTACAACACTCTGACGTTGTTCCCACTCTTCTTTGGTCATAGGAGCCATGGCTTTTGATTTTTCCATCAAATCTGGAATAGATAAATGTGAGCAACATTTTAACATTAATTGTGAAACAATAAAAGTTTAAATGGGTCTTTGTCACTAGTATATTTAAGATTATTTTTCAGGGGAATCCTGGCTCCTTAACAAAGCTGCATTACGTATTCTTAGGCGTGTCTTTGCACTTGAATCCAAGATGAGCATTGGTCACCCGGATCAATTTAAATATGCCTAGGAATTTTATGAAAACTTTTAATAAACATTAGTATGCCTCAATATAACTGATGATGAGTGTAGATATTTTGGGGGGCCATAGAGTAAATAATGAAACCTATTTAGTAGCATGTAACAATGCAAGTAAACAGTTTGTACAATTTTATGACCATATCTTATATTATGACAAAAAATATAAAATTGACAATTTAAATTTTTGGCAATCTTTATCATTTATTTTTTTAAATTATTATAACATTTCAAACCTAAAGGGATGTCAGCCGGTGCTTCATCTGTTTTTTGTTCCTCATCGCGACTCCTACTAGGGCTCTTACTTCTATATCTCTTTTTAAGCTTCTTCCTCTCCTCCTTTAGCTTCTTTTTTAAAGCTTTTTCAGTTTTCTTTTGTTCTTTCTTTAATTTCTTTTTTAATTTACGTAGTTTCTTTTTTTCCTGGGAAGAATTCGAGCTACTCGAACTAGAGTCGTCATCGGATGTAGACCGTTTTCGTTTCTTAGACTTTTCTTTTCCCATTTTTTATTAGCTCACATTACAACACCACAAATAATAAATATATATTTATTTACAATAATTGATATATCAATAACTCGACCTTTCGAAATAATACTGATCTTGTACTATTGAAATCAACACAATAATTTTAATTCACGTCAACACTGCCGACATTGATAATTTAAGCGATTAATCCTGAATCGCTTTATATATATTATATTGTAAATAAAATTATTTCTGGAATTTCTTTGATATTTTTCGTATTAATAAAATCCAGAATATAGAGATGTAATATTGACTTTTTTTTGACAACCTAAAGTTGACATTGACAGTAAACAATTTTTTTTTAATTAATAAAGATTTGGAGTCATCAACCTATAAAAGAAATATTGTGTTTTCGATACCTAACATGAATTGCGGAACGGAGCAAAATATCCATCTAAAATAGCGGTATTAAAGAACTGTGATATGAAAAAATATAGTTGCAGTTGGATTTTTAAAAAGTCGAGCACAAAATATACATTTACAAAATGTAATTAAAATCATTAAGATTAAACGATTGCTACATAATCGATACAAATGTATGCTTTTATTATAAGCAATGCAGTCTTATCTAATAATCTTATTTAGTAAGAGTAAAATTGACTCTTACCAATAAGACCTACCTTTTACCTTTCCTTCTAAAACAAAAAAATACTGATAATAAAATTGAAATTCTGATGATATCTGTACATGGGAGACATTTAAAAAAAATAAAAATAAGGGTTTTTAATATAACCAATAGAAGCCGAATTTTTATCTATCTGTCTGTATGTCTGTTCCGGCATTACGCAAATGACTTCATTGAATGCGTTTTTCAGAATTGTGTTCTTGAAAGTCTAACTTAAAATCTGATGTATGTATTATCTAGATATGCCATCTATAAGTGGTTTTTTGGTATTAATTTCATTAGATTTCCTACTTCTAAAACCCACGCCTACGAAATAGCGACAAAAATGTAGTATACAGTAAATATTATATTATCTAATGAAATTCTAGCACTATCTTAATTTAAGCTAACACCTTTATGAGCTCTATAAAAAATCCAATTGCCTAAACAAGCTATTATATATAAAAAGACACGATATGTATCTATATATTGTATGTCATAACACTAGTTATGTAGCACGACTTGATTTACGATTGAGCGGCGACACGTCACGGGAGTTCCGATGAATAATTGAGGGTGGTGCACGCATGCGCCGGACGTACCGAAGACACATACGTTCACTTCACACGAATAGAATACTTAATCGGAGATAAAAAAATGATTGTAAATGAAACTCTCTAGTATCGTGTTTGTAAATGTGAATTAATATGTGTGAGTTGCAGTAATAAGTAAATTGTAGTCGATAGAATGCAGGCGGGGGGGCCGGACAGCGCAGCGGTCTCGGAGGCCCCCAGCAGTGGCAGCGATGAGTCGGACTGCGAGCAGGGGCCCGAAACGGACGCGGATGCGGCCCTCACAGAGGAATGGGCGAGAGAGTTGCTGGCAGGCGCGGGCGTGGTGGCCGCTAATGAGGTTCATTTAGTTTAACCTTTTTTTTTTAATTATAATCTCAGATTAAATACAAATTATAGTAAGCACTACAATTAAGTACATATAGGTACTTTAATTTATTAAAATTTCCAGATCTATCATTATTTCATTTTTCAACCAGCTTAGAAAAGAGAAGGACCGCGATTATCACTAATTTTGAAACTATTTTAAATGTTTTTTTTTTTTTTTTTTTTAATTGAAACTTTTTTATTTAACATTAATACATATAATTTGTAGATGTTACATACCCATTTAAATTTGTGATAAAATTTTACCTTCATTATTAAAAATGAAGTGTTACAATTTTTTTTCATCTAGCTGACCTATTTTCGTTAAATAGGCGAGGAAGAGAGCCTTAGTTCTCTCTGTGTAAACTCCCCGCTCTCTTCTATCTGACCGTATAAAAACGTCGTTTTTATACAAAAGTAACAATAAATTGTTCCACCCTTGGGCGGATTCTTAAATCGAAATTATGTATTTTTAAATAGCAAATTAGAAATCGAACTTGACGGTTATTAATAATGGAATCCTGAGTTGTACCATAGAAAGAATAATAATGTTCCCATAATACAGATAGTTCTAATTAGAAAACTACATAACTAGTGGAATTACGTGAAGAGGTTTTAATACGCAGTATTAATATTTTAAATTAAAGATGCCTACTTCAAAACTTAATGTTGTAAAACTAGTTTATAATTAAATGTTAAACGTGTTTTAAATATTATTTCATTATTTATTTGTTACATTAACGATTAGAAAATAATTTGTTTAATACATACGAGTATGTTTATAAACATTAACAGTAAAATTATCCAAATAATTAAATTATAAAAAAAAAAATAGTTTACTATATTTCTTTATATCTGTAAAAAAAAAAAACGTTCAGGCTCACATTTTTACTTTATCCGAGCAGTAAGTGCTTTATATTATTCTCAATCTCATGTATAATATAGTATATGTCATATATGTGTAAGTATATTTGTTATTCATATATATTTATTCGTTTATATATATAACTTTAGTATGTATGTATATCAATAATTAGCAGTACCGCATGCGAGTATTCTGACACTTCCCTATGGTTGACTGGGAGAGAATGCTTTTAGCATTAAGTTCGCCATGAACACATATTTGTATTAATGAATAAATAAATAAATACATTACAACTACTACTATGTAATATTCTAGCCCATATCAACAAATAACAAACAAAACAATGAAAATATAATTAAATAATAAAAAAAAATATTCAGTGGAACATAAAATGTCCTTTTTTTAAGAAGTCGGTTAAAAAGAGACTACTCTCGATCACACTCAAGCATGTAAGCGATAAATATTGCCACTACGTATATATACCTATATTTACCTATTAGAAGTATGTCAACTTTTTATTTATTAATTAAAAACTTTTTTAGCATTCAATTAAAAGTATATTTAGTTTTAGACAATCTTATTGGTGATATTATATTATACTAGCATTTCTATATATATCTGTCATGAAATAAAATTGCAATTTGGAAAATAATTAATTTAGTTTTCGATATTTTAGAATATCAAACTGTACAAACGAGATTCAAGTTCCTTCATGTAGAATGGAGAGGAATATTTATTAATTGGCTGCTATTGGCTGCTTTTTATCTCAGTCTGTAAACATATACAAGTTACGCAGAGAAATGTGTGGGTAAAAGCTAGTATTATTATAAATTGAAAATTAGGTGAAAGTGAAGTAACTATAGTTTCTTTTTTAATGAATGATTATGGAATGATAACTCTGCCCGCGATAACGGTATACGCTGACGGAACACCAGTGAGAGATGATAGGTGAGAATGAAAAGGCAGATCAGTTAGCCCATCGTAATGAATACACCTGGTATTCTGCAGGTTTTCAGAGGGGGGGGGGGGGGTTAAATAGAGGTCGACGTGACAGGATATATTACTTAATCATAAAACTTCATTTTTAAATCGAGTAATACACCCTTACTAGGAATGAGACTGGTAGACCGCACTACTAACAATTCCCCCCCCCCGCTCCACCAAATAACTATAATTAGGTATCTGTGTATAATTTTTTTTTTTTAATAATTCGTAGGTCCGAGTGGAGTCACGCGCCGGAGTAGCTGGGGCTCTGAGTCGAGTGCTAGCCGTCACTGTCCGATATGAGAGTAATGGGGAAAGTAGATCTTTGCCCCTCGTTGTCAAGCTGCCCCCTAGAGACCCGTTTGGACGACTGTTCGTGGCCGAAGCTCAGTTTGACACGAGAGAGATACTTTTCTATACGGAACTCGCACCAGCGCTGAACAAGTTGGCTGAAGAGGATTTAGGACCGGGGATGGGGCTGCCTGTTCCTCAATGTGTGAAAGCAAGATTACCAGGTTGGTCTTTAAGTAATATTTATTAAGTATCAAAGTAATAAAGACAATAAGACACTGGTTATTTTCATCCCTGCATATTGTGAAGATGAAAAAAAGGAGCAATGTTACACTGTACGTTTGTACAAAAAAAAAAAAAAAGCATGTTAATTAATGTAACCCATTCTTTAAAATTAATTTCAGTATTAAAAAAAAAATCTATTTTCCTAGAAAAAAATACTAAAACTATAAATAAATTGTGCTCCACAAAAAAAAAATTGTGACAATACAAGTTATTTTAAAAACTAAACAACTGAACTGATTATGATAAAATTTCTATGGGACTAATCTGTAAGTGTATCATTTCAGATATTTTTTTTTATATACAACTTAGAATGGCAAACAAGCTGACGGCCCACTTGATGGAAAGTGGTAACCATCGCCTATAGACATGAACAGTATCATGGACATAATAGAGTATACTGTTTCGCCCATGATACACCCTATGCGTTACCATTCCTGAGGACTCAGGTATTATTCCTCTGTACCCTGTAAAATCACGGCATTTCCCACCCTTTAAACTGAAACACAGCCATGCAAACACGACTTTTTAATACAAAGTCTTCCTCTGGTATAAAAAATAATTTTCCCAATCAGTTTACAACTAACGGATTTATGAGGTAACAAACATAAAAAAAAAAACATTAATCGATTTGAGCACCTCCTTATTTTTTAAGTCAGTTAATAAATTTAAATTCTTGAAAAAAGAACAACCTCTGTGTGTACCAACGGCATTACATAATAAAAGAATTCGAAAATTTTTAATTTATTTAATTTTTTTTAAATTTTGTATAATATAAACATTTTACTAAAAAAAATGTTTTAAACCCTGTTAATACTAACAATTAAGTAATGGGTTATTATATTATTAACCAATCCATCAAAGCCTGAGACCTCCATAGAAGCGAGACATTAGCGAAATCAGGGCCATAAAAATATGTATATGTATATATAATAAGTGCAGGACTTGCATCATTTAATAAATTTAGGACGTACCTAATAATGTCTTTATCATAAAAAAAAATCTATTCTTTTTTTGCGATGTAAATTCTTAAATTACTTTTTTTACATTTTATTTTTATGTTTCCGTATTCGCCATCTAATGTGTGCAAATTGCGAAGCATGCATAGCGTGGTCACTAGAAATAAATGCTTAGGTATTAAAATCTATGTAGCATTAGTCACTGATTCGAAATAAGATTATTTTAGTCTCTGCTCAAGGCTAAAATGTTCTCTGATGATGCATATGACCAAAATATGTCAAAATCCACACCGCAGTTTCATTCCGTAGTCGAAAGAATTTGTGACATTAAAAAATAATATCTAAAGTTATATAGACCAGGTAAAAGGTATGGCCGGGATCTTTTAAAATGTGCCTAATAATTTATGTGTAAAAACGCATCACGGTACCATACAGTACATTAAAAATCTTCTGAATTATATATCTAAGACATATTTTGATGGTGAATAACTTTATAATTTAATAGTAAAAGGAAATTTTACTCTAAAATGCAGAGGCAAATATTATTTGCCTATGTTATAATATTAACACAGAATTTTAAAAAACACGAAGAAAAGTCCTTTTCAAGAAACTTACTTTTGTTTTATTGTGCAAATTAATTAATACAGGTATTATCTATTACAGATGAAATTGGCGGTGATAGTGAATTAGTTCTAGAAGATGTAACGTCAATGGGCTTTGAAGCAGCAGATTTTGCTGAAGGCTTGAGTGAGGAGAAAACGCGGGCAGCTCTCTACGCTGCCGCACGACTCCATGCCCTTTCCTTGGCACTCCGAGAGAGGGAAGGCCCCCTAGATCAACGCTTCGACTTTCTGTTTCCCTGCGAAAGAGCCGCTGCAGGATATCTTCGGCTCGTGCGACGTGGTTTACCGCAGCTAGAATCATTTTTAAGGGGCCGAACTGACTGTATAGAAGAAGCAGCCGCGGTATCAGCTTTAGTTGCCAGAGCCCCTTCTTTACTTGGCACTTTACTGCGACCAGCGGAACCCGCACCACTCGCCCACGCAGACTTCTGGAGTGGGAATCTTCTATTTCGAGAAAAAGATGGAGTTACGGAGTGCATAGCTTTAGATTGGCAAATGGTATCTCTCGGGAGACCAATGGATGATGTTGCATTGTTACTTCTATCATCTCTGACGCCTGAAATGAGAAGAGCTGTTGGTGACCAATTAATAGAAGAGTACGGGGATCGTTTGGAAGCTGAATGTGCAAGATTAGGAGCAGCTGCCGCTGGTGCTGCTGTCAGACGAGGATTGAGACCTGATTGGCCCAGAGCAGCACTGAGAGCGCTTCTACTCTGCGCTGGGAGTGTCGACGTTGCGTTGGGTGAACCAAGAGCCGAGAGAAGACTACTTGAGGCTGTGAAAGACCTACACGTACAGGGCGTACTCTCGCTGCGTCCTGATACAGAATCGTAACTTTTCTGCAAAATGTTCATGTGCCAAGAGCGTGCTGAATAATCCATGTCAACCGTTCATCGTAACAATTACAAAGGAAAGAAATCAGTCCAAGATAGTAGATAATATTTATTTCTTGCACAAATTAAATTTTAGTGGTGTGTTATTTGTCATTAGTCTTACTTTATCAACGATTTGGATTCGATGGACGCCTCTACCAGCCGTGGTGTGAGGTGAAGCCTAATCAAAGACTGAATTTACGTATATTACTACATCGTGCATCTATGTACGTTTGTATGTAGACTACTAATGTAGATAATAATTGCTCATGGTATCAAAGGCTAGGAATCATTGCGGTCTATTGACTATTATTTAATTAAATTGAAAATGAAATTAATTACATTAAACAGTATGTTTTATTTATTTATTTAAACAATATATTTCCCTAAAAGTAATAAAATTTAAGTACGTACCTATTAATTAAAAATATATGTACATAATAGTCCAAATCCTATACAGATACAGCATAAAATGTCAACCAGCAAAGGTAAACAATTTACTAAAATCGTAATAACCTTAGTGTTATAGCGATTTTACACTGATTTATTTTTCAATGGTCGTAGGCTCAATCCCCACATAGTACCTATTTCTTCAGATATTTTCTTATATACAAATTTCCGTTGTAACTTTTCACTGCTTTTGTTCTCCTCTAACTAACGGTAATAAATGATAACAAACTACAATCATATATTGACACTAGTGATCTTAATAATCGGCTTCACTAAAGTTGCGTAATATATTTTTTTGTGAACCATGTCCGATCTCACTACTTTGTCGCTATATAAAATTTTTCATCTTTTATAATATACCAGTGAATTTGCATTGGCGTTGTGGGTATATTCACGGTTGGTGCCCCCGAAACTGGTGCCTGTCTTCAGATCTCCAGTCACAAGTTTTGTTTATAACTTCTAACAGTTGTTTTCGAGTCTGTACAGTGTATGTGAATTTACTTGACTACTTTGCTCTAGGGTACGTACTAGTAATCTTATACTTAAATATTTCACTGTACTTCGTAATAATTATAATTCGAGTCATCAAAATTCAAATTTTAAAATGCTTAACGGGACTCCGCTAAAAATCAATCTTATCAGTACAATAAAAATATATTTTTCTTTAAAACAAACATAGATCAAGCAAAGTACCTACGGAAAACAAATTAGGTTTCTGAGTTTTTCTTTTTTGTCACCAATGTATAGCAATGTTCGCAAAGACATATCTGAAGGTCCATATATGCTATTTTAAGAAGTCAGGCGTCCCTCAGGAAAATAGTCTTAAACACGTCGATGCACCCTAAGAATTATATTCCTCTATTCTGTAGCCTTGTCATATATTTGGAAAAAAAAACTAAATATTGTTTTTCTTCGTTTTATAAATCTTATACATTTTTATTTAATATAAAATAATACAAAAATAAATTATTTTATTGTCTGGTATTATAAAAACCCCGGTATGGGTGTATTTTTACAATAAATCCTGTAAGTACCTACTATAGATTAAGGATAATATATTCTTTCTATGGCAACCATTTATCTGAACTGTTGAGATGTCAATTTGTCATTTATGTAAGTACCTATGTCAAAATTGCCAAATCAAAATAAAAACTTCACCTTCGTGCTGTGCTTCGTGCTCACAAATAAATAATTATTTTGGAAATGTTATTCCTACATTAAAATCAGACTATTTAAAAAAATATATCATATTAAGTATCCAGTGATGGCTCAACCGAACCAAGTGAATTTAGATATTGAAGAAGATCCACCTGCAGATGGAACACCACCACGTAACAATCCTTTGCATAGATTGGACTCTAATTCTAGGCCTGTGCCTTCAATTAGAAATAACCTGGGCCTTGGAGATCGCCTAAATAGTGTTTTTAGAGAAATCAGGCCTTTTGTCGAAAATGCTCGAATGGTATAATTTTTAATATTATTGTGATGCAATATTATTATAATCTTATTGTTCATGATTCATTAAATTTACAATCTATTCTATAATCTAGAAAAAAATATTCATAGTGCAATTATCATTATTTTATGTTTAATTGGGAACTTTAAATGATTTTATATAGATTTTTGAGTCTAGCACAATAAAAAATACAGTAAAAAAGTGGATTCAGCTAAAAATAAGTGTTTTCAAATAACTCCAAAAATTATTTTCATTTCACTGTTTTTTTTTTTTTTTTTTTTGCTATTTTTAATCATTCTCCACCAATTAGGTAGATTGTTTTTACAATCTAAAGGTTTTTTTAATATGTGAAAATGAAATAGTGCACCCCACCTGCATTATTGGTTACCACTAGCAGAACACTAGTGAGAAATGATAGGTGAGAATGAAGCAGATTGGTTGGCCAATCATGACAAATTCCACAATTATTAATCATGATAGCATCCAGGGGGTACTGGGTAGAGGTTGATCTGATAGGATATATTGGTAGCAATAGGGCAGTTAGACTCTATTACTACCGATTTCCCCCTTAATAAGCAAGGTTTAATCTTATACCAACCTTAGGGTAGTGATAGAATTTTGCTATAATTGTATTGTTTTTATTATTATGAGGAACAACATCTTAAACTAGTACACACAAAGCAATTTAAGCAAATATTTGGAGGTGATAAAGTAGCAAAACAACAGAAAGATGAATGCATCCAGTTGCAGTTGTTATCAATTTGGACAACTTATAAAGCAGTGATCAATATAATATATATAATATAATAGTCTTCTAAAGTAATCATGATATATTGTGTCACTGTTAACAGTGAATAGTAAATGTACATAAAGTATGTGACAGTGAGATAAACACATCAATTAATTATAATGCTTTTTTTTTAATTCACTTTTCATTTTTATTTTTTATTTGATTCAACCCTCTTTAGATGTAATCAGATGTGGTGTATATTGATTAGGCATTAAGGACACACACACTACATAGCCTACTTTTTTTAATATATATAAAAATGCATTTAGTATATTTAAAATAATGTACTTGTTTAAGGGAAATAATCCAAGGTTATCATTACCAACATGGCTGCCGAGACATACACCGGGGACTCATCAAATTGGTGAAAGTAGTACACAGAGACCACAAAGCTCAATTGCACATGTGAATTTGGGACCAGGTAGCCAGACTTATGGGGTCACAGATAGAGGTACACCACCATCGCAGAGAACACAAATGCTGGGCCACGAGTTGAATACTAGTATATCACATGACTCCAATCTCTCAGAGCAAGGGCAGGATCATCCAGAGATCAATGTGTCAGTGAACCCAGCTAATAATAATAACATACATGATAATGGCGATAATGAAAGTCAAAGTGATGATGGTACACAACAGGTAATATATCCTTGTTCTATTTTACTTTGAGCAGTGATGTACTTTATAAAAAATCTAATATTCTATCAGTCAGCCTACAAAATTACTATATATTTTATACATCATCTAAAAAAATGCAATGTAAACAGTATAATTTTTATTTATTGTAAAATTTTTTTTATAAAATTTAAACCAGCAGACAAGTCACAGTCATCTGATGGTATGTGCTAATTATCATTAATGAATATAACACTGTAGATATCACAAAATACCCTCTGATGCATATACTATGATGAATTGCCATCTCTGAAAACTAAGAAGTACTTGGAATTTTATTAACTTGAAATGTTAATTGAATTTCACTATACCATATGTGATATCTATGATCTTAAAACTCAAGCTATGATTAACAATTTTCTACTTTGAAATCACTTCCTGGTTTATATGGCTATATGTAGACATGAAATTCATGAAACCATGAGGCTGTTAATCAATAAAAATATATCAATCAAAAGACAGTTTTTACTGTTTGCTATCAACCAGTGAATGTTCTATATATTGTAAACATTTGGAACCTCTTGCTTTGTTCAAATTGTAATGTTTTTGTCCAGTTTTATATCATAATAGTCACATTTAAATAATATTTAATTTTGTAAATTTGAATTATTTAATTTTATTTTCTACTATACTAATAATTGATTACAGGTTTTGGATGTTAGAACAACTTTAAACGTACTCATCCGTTATGCACCATTCTACATAATACTTTTCATAAAGTTCATGTATGATAGCAGAGAAGGACTGTTTACATTCATTGTATTGCTTTGTACATTTGCACATTGCAACACCCTTGTGAGGAGGTAAGAAGCATATTTTACTATGTAATATCTATGTATTAAGTAATATCAATTAGTAAGAGGATGCATGAGAAAGCACAAGACTCCTCACATTGCTATCTCGATAGATTTGTTTGCCACTTGTCTAGAGAGGCTGAAGAAAAAAATTAATGTGCCATGTTGTAACTATTCTTGCTGTATTACCATAAATAATCTAAAAGATTGTCTTTTCACACACAATATACATAATTAACGAGTTGTTTTTAAACATTTATTTATTTATTTAATGGATTATGTAAGCTTTATATTGTCCCAATATGCTTACCTAGAAAAATATAAGTACAGGAATAAATACTATGTAAACAATAAATATTAAATGAATATGAAGCAATATAATAGCAACGTGATAAAGTAATAATATATAATAATAGTAGAAATAAAACTGTATATGTTAACTTACTATGTAGTAGTATGAAACAGAAGTGGAGATGGGCAGGTCATATAGCGAGGTACAAAGACAGTCCAAACAACAAAATGGCGAGGTCCAGCAGGAAAAAGAAATGTTGGAAGGCAAAGAAAGAGATGGGCAGATGACATAATAAATATAGCAGGAAAAAACTGGACAAGTATTGCTATAGATAAAAACCCTTGGGGACCATGGAAGTGGATAAAAAGCTATAATAATAATGTTAACTTACTGAGCATAAAAATTCCAAGGCCATCAGATTGAATTTGAGCAAGTTAGAGGCAAATCATATCTATTCACCCCTTTTATCGACATTTATTTGCTTCAGAGACAGTTCCGGAATTCACTTCAAAGTCACTACATGATTATTGAAAAAAATTTTTTTTTTCTTTTTCCAGGGAACATGGGAAACAAATGAATAGGAGCATAATAGCTCTGTTCAGTGAGCTTGTGTTCACAGGCAGTTGTATAGTGGTTGTGCATTTCCTGTTCGGCCATGGGAAACTGTTGCCTAATGTGGTAATGTTCCCGGCGTACACTGACTCCATAGATGTATGGGAGCTGCTCTGGCTGGTCGTGTTGACTGATTTGATAGTCAAGATCATTACTGTAGACGTAAAAATACTGGTCACAATGATGCCTGCTTTCTTGTTGCCGTATCAGAAAAGGGTAATATTTTTTATACTTATTGTATCCCGCGGCTCTGCCTGCGTGAATCAGGACATAAGGTATCCTATGTACTAAATTAGAATAGGATATAACACACTCATATACCAAATTTTATTCACATCTGTTCAGTAGCTTTTACGTGAAAGAGTAATAAACATCCATCTATGCTTACAAACATTCGCATTTGTTATATTACAATTTTTCTGTAGTTCTTTAAATGTTGAGCTATTTGAATCTGTTTAGTGACACTATTGGATATAAAAGTTATTTAAATAATTGTTGATGCATAATATAATTTTATATTTGTATGGGCAGATATTGTTTTAATCAGCATGATTTATATATTAAAATATAGACATTCATAAATCTTAAATAACAACGTTTGAACAATCAAATGTTTTTATTTTTTTATATATTGAGATGATACAAACATTTGGTTTGGGGGGAAAAGGGATCGTTAGCAACTGTTACTAGCATTATACACCGATCAGGTCATCTCCTGAGTTATGATATCGCCAAAATGAAGAATTTGTCACGATAGCCCATCATTTTTGCAAATTCACCAATGGATCCGTTAGCCACGATAGTTTCCATAGAGGAACCGCGAAAAAAAAAAATTAACCTATTTTATTATTAGTTTAATGCTATATTATTTTGCTAACGATCCCTTTTCCCCCAAACCAAATGTTTGTATACATGATCTCAATATATAAATAAAATAAAATACAATGCTATCATTTAGAGCTATTTCAGTGACCACGTTATTATTTAAGATTATGAATGACCTGCTCTATATTTTAATATATAAATAGAACCGAATGCTGATTATAGGAATCACATAATAACTGTGCCCATACAAATATAAAATTATCTTGTACAAGACAACAGAGTCACTGTTGAATTTCTGGCGGACTCTTCTTCATTAGATATGTTATTAACATTCCTAATCGAGCAGTAGATTCATAGAAAATTAATTTAAAAGAATTTTTAAATAAGTCTATTTGAATAAATATGATTTCTATAGTGAACTAGGTGCTATATTATGGACAAAATAATAAAATGAATTAAATACATTTAAGGACCTCTGTCCCATTTTGTTTCTACTGTGAAAGTTGTGTTTGCATGGCTGTGTTTCGGTTTGAAGGGTAGGGATATGGCGTGAATTTACATCATGATGAATTCATCAGAAGAATAACATCTAGTCCTCAGGAATGGCAACACATGGGGGGCATCATTGGGTGAAATTGCAGTAATGGGACTCTTCATTATGTCCATGGTATTGCAAACCAGAGAGAATAAAAAAGTCTATAGGCGACGGCTACCACTTTCCATCAGGTGGGCCGTCAGCTTGTTTGCCATTCTAAGTTGTATAAAAAAAAACAAAATAAAAAAAAACCAAAATAATTCTAATCAAATAACCCATTTTATTATTAGTTTTTAACAGTATAATTTAATTATTTTTCAGGGTAAAGTATACCTTTTTACGGAGGCAATTTCCCAGCTATACCGTTCTCTGCTCACCATACAGCCTTGGATATTTTTCCTGATGCAATCATATGAGGGCTCCGAGAAGATGATGGGCATGTTCTTAACGTCGCTCTATGTTATATCAAAGGTTATCGATGTGATCACCAGGTTGCTACTCTTCAAATATGCTACATGGACTCTTTTGCAAAGTGTGGTAAGATAGTTTCCTTCAGTGTTAATTTTTTTATAATATATTTAACATTTACCTTCATTGCCTTTAATATCATCATATCAGCTTTTAACTGTCCACTGTCGAACATAAGCCTACACCTAGGGGGTTTTGTCAATAGTTGCCACGCTTGGCAGGCGGATTGGCAACCGCAGTTAGGCTTAGGAGATGTTTTGAGAGAGACGCTGCTGCCCATCCCTCGCCCCTTAGTCGCCTCTTACGACACTTACGGGAAAGGAAGGGGTGGCCTATTCTATGCCGGGACCACACGGAATCATTGCCTTTAATATGGTAACCTTTAATAGTCTATTTATTGAGGTCCCTAAATATGTACTGATCAAAATCACGTGTTACTGTGCTTTAATAGAATAAAAAAAAAATACACTCTAATCTCCGAAACCACTCAACTGATTTTATGACAATTTCGTGAATATATATGATTTTTTTAATGGTGTAAAGATGGAATGATAACGCGCTAGTTATTATTCCATTATCACCATACGGGATATCATTCGATAACTTGCATCAGTGAGTAATGATAGGTAAGAATGAAATCTGGTCAATGAGCTCGCTGTGGTATATTAAGTGGAAATAAACACAATGGTTTCACGGGTATAAGTCAAACTGTCCCACACTCTGTATTGATAGCACCCACTTAAAGTAAAATAACACTATTACTCTAATTTACCGTGTGATCCTGGCACAGAATGAGCCCAAAATGTAATGTAATGTAAATAGGACTCTATTTTCCGCGCTTAGCCTCTCATTTGTGGCCGTCGTGCGTATGAGTCGTGGCTTGTACAGCCAACCTAGCTCCGCCCAGAAACAGAAGCTTCCTGGGATCTTCACAGGCCTCACGGAGCGACCTCACCGTTCCGAGGATTTCTAAATGTTGATGGGCCACAGCTTCACATTCCAGGATTACGTGAGCAGTCGTTTCTTCGGCGTCGAAACTGCCTCGACATAGAGGACTGTCTGTGGCTCCTATTGTGTAAAAATGTTTGTTTAATGGATGAATGAGTCCATGGGTGTTGTAAAAGGCGACTAAAGGAACTTAATGGTCGATGGACAGGCAGCAGCATCCCTCTTAAATCATCACTTAAAGCCTAACAGTGTTTGTTAACCCGCCTGTCAAGCCTGGTAATTACTGGCAAAACCTCCCCTTATGGGGTGGCCTATGTTCAGCAGTGGACAGTTTACGGCTGATACAATTATAATACTATAATTATATACAACTTAACAATATTGAATTTAATTTTTATATTTATTTATTTTTTATTAACATTATAATATAAAAAAATGTCTGGTACAAAAAGCGGACTTAATACTATATAGCATTCTCTCCAAGTCAATCTTTGGCAAAACAGAAATGTAATTATGCGGTGAAAAAAAGTAAAAATTGTTACAAATAAATATTATAAATCATATTTTATTTGTATGTAAAATAATAAAAAACTTACGAATTTTTCACGGCTAGAATAATTAATTTAATCGATACAAACAAAATTCTATTTATCAACAGAATCTCGGCACAAAACCAACCGGCGAGCAGCTGCTTTCCGCCGGCGACTCTTGTCCCATCTGTCACGACGACTACACGACGCCAGTGCGGCTGGACTGCAGCCACATATTCTGCGAGCTGTGCATCTCGGCTTGGCTCGACCGTGAACACACCTGCCCCCTCTGCCGGGCGAAGGTCGCCGAGGAACCTACATGGCGGGACGGTTCCACCGCGTATAGCTTTCAACTCTACTGATCGACTGGTTAAGGTAATCTAGCGGGATCACAGTGTAATATAAATTAGAGGCGTCGTTTCTGAAATATCCAATAACTCCTTTATTCATAAAAACATCAAAACCAATCTATCGATATATATCTCTTATGGGAAAGAACAAGACACCAGACTCCACTATCTCTTTTTATCTTATATACTCAGTAGCGATTCCGATCCTATGGATGAATTAATTTAACGCTTGACTAAGAGGTTGAACTGCGCTTAGTAGCGTGGTAGATGGCCTACCGTGTCCCTCTCTACGTTCCATTATTATTACAACTGTTAGAGTTGCAGCTGAATACCTTGTTAGGAGTACACATACATGGAAAGATTGTAAGCGTGCCAGCGTGAATGTAGTAGTAGCAATTGTATGGAACACAATACATTTAGTTCTTAGTCCAAGTAACTTATCTAAATACACATGCTAAATCGCAATATTATATTGTTTACTAGCGACCCGCCTCGGCTTCGCACGGGTGCAATGCTGCACCGCTATGTCCCCTGCATTTTAAATCTGTAATATCTTTGGAAATAATAATTTAATTTACATGCTGTAAAGGGCCATATTGATCTATATTAAATATACAATATAATTAAGGTACCTAATTGAATAAAAATTAATGGTGTATTGCCTAAAATCACTTCGTAAATAAGCAATTTTTTCCCGTAAATTGTAAAATAAAAAATGGTTATTGTGGGTTATCCTTAAGAGATTAGACATATACCATCGCGGACTTTTTTGTTGACCTTTTTAAGGTGTACAATACTGTAGTACATTATTCTGTATTATCTCGTAATGTTCAACCAGCGTTTGCAATGTAAGCGCAAAAAATGTGTTTATTTACGACATCACATTAGAAACCTTGAAATTTATCAGTGTTTCTCTGCAATATTATACATGTATTATACATATAAACCTTCCTCTTAAATCACTCTATCTATTAAAAAAAACTCCGCTTCAAAATCTGTTGTGTAGTTTTAAAGATTTAAGCATACATAGGGACGGACTTTTTCTAGGCGCTAGTACTGGCAGAGGGCCGAAGAAATTATTTCGGGAAGGGCCTTTGACCAGATATCAGCAGACAGGTAACTCTGGCTGGTGTACCACGGTGTGGAAGGCAAATGGGGAAACCACCACACAAACTTCCCTAACAAATGGAGCACACATAGATAGAGACGGACAGACAGCGACAGCGACTTTGTTTTATACAATGTAGTGATTTGTTTATATTACTGTCTCTCCATGTATAACTACTCTTAATAAAGTAGGTATTGAGCTGTAACTCTAAAAACAACTGTATATCTCTTTAAATTATTGCAAAGTCGCGTCACTATGTCGTATTAAGATTGGATTTAAGTGCATTTATTTAGGTATAAATATTTTCCAAACAATGATTGGTTTGAAAGCCTATGTGAATCTAGAATTGGCGAACTTAGTACTGTTAAGAACTAAATTAATAATTGTAAATTATAAAATAAAAACTGAATTTATTTGAACTATCAACAGCAGTAATAACTACTGTTGCACTAGATATGATAAACATACAACGTTATGATTTTAGATTATATAGATAGAGTGTATCCATACAAATGCTTCTAGAAAAGCGGGTCAACTTTTTCATACAATTTTGCGTGATAAATAGTTATGAGTGATTCCTTTATAACTTCTATATTTCTTATCTTTGTGAACGGTTCAATTTCCTTGTCCCCACTGGCATGTGCAGTAGGTCGAGTAAGTCCCTTATTTTTAAAATCCCTCCTCATGCTATAGTGGTTCATTTACGGTTCATGCGGTTAGACTGTGAAACTCTCTTCCACTGCATATTCGTGAAACTTAATCACTGAATATATTTAAGAGCAGATTAAAAGAGCATCTCTTGTCCTCATAAACTTATTATGTCTATGTATGTATATGTGCGTATTTTGTATGTGAAAACATATTATATATATATATATATATATATATATATATATATATATATATATATATATATATATATAATATATATATATAATTATTATTTATATACAGACATGTGTGTATTTTGATTTTAATTATATGAATTACTTTGCATAGATGTCAACAGCTTAACTCTTACAGAGTTAAGCTGTTGTACATCTTTATTTTATATATATTATATGTTTGTAATTTTTTGTGTACAATAAAGTATAAATAAATAAATTAATATTTATTTTTTCTTATAAATTCTGCACCTTTTCAATGTGCAAATAGTTGACAAGAAGGTGCCTGGTTTTTGAAGTTCGATTCTCTATCTATATAATCTAAGGTAACTATATCTATAACAAAATTTTTATTTTATAAATTTTAATTATATTTAAATTAATCGCTTTTTATTTTGCAGACGATTAAAAGTCGTATTCCAACGCTGTTAATAGAATTATGCATCAGTTATGTAAATATTGGATATTTGGTGAAAGAAAAGAATTATGTCTGGACCGAGTTAAGTTTTAGTTGCCTACACACAGTTTTAATAGTAAGTTTTAAAATGTAATGGAAGATCTACTTAATACTAACGGAATTAAAGTAACGGTTAACTTCAAACTAAATTATGTATTTATTATTAAAGCCCTATTATAACGTGTTACCAAGTTGCAGTAAATTGTTACTGTAACACTGTTCTGTTGCTATGGTCACCTTTTACCATCAGATGGGCCGACAGCTTGTTTATTATTCTAAATTATATAAAAAAATATTAAAAACTCAAAAAATTATACGAAATTTATTTTAATACAACATCAATACTGTATAATGTATTATATTATACAGCCATGTTGAGACCCCAGGATATTTTTTTTTTATTTCTTACTTTTAAAATACTTATGTAAATAGTATATTCAGTAAAAGCTATATTTGAAAAAATTTTGTCCACTTTGTAAAAACTCTGTGCTTACGTCATACTTTATATATTATAGTTAAATACCGCTAGATAAATTTTAAATAAAACAATCATGACAAGAAGATAGAAGAAGGATAAAATTCCTACATTTAAATAATACTGTATATAAATTTTAAATAGAATTAGCTATAAAAATGTTTAAATCGTCTATTTTTTGTGTCAAACTATTAACGAAACTTGTCTAAATGTTCCAATATATGTAACTAAAATATTTACATGGTCCGTAATTAAGAATATCTTTAGGTCGAGTACAAAATAGTTGGATAACTTGTATGTCGAACGTATTTTGTGTGGATACGTCGCCGAGTACAGGAGTATACGTTAATGTAATGATAGGCTTTGTACAAAATCCATAATGTGTGTAACGGCAATGTGTGTAGAAGCAATTTTATTTTACACTGTGCTAATGTAACTTTACCACAGTGTAAAATCAAATTGCTTCTACACGTTAAAAATTGCTCTTATTACGTAAAGTATGTTATGTTTTTCTTTATTCTCTTTAGCACACATGTAAACACATTTAAATATCTTTTTATCGAATTAACAGTGCATAAAATAATCAAATAGATAAATTAAAAAGATATTTATATTATTTTACTATATATAATTGCACATTATTACTTTTTTTCTATTTTAGTTTTAAATAACTTCATTCAGTTAAAAGACATTTTGATATTTAGGATTTACTTTGTTATTGTTTATTGTCTAGAAAAACTGATCTTAATATTTGATAGCCACTGTCTTTCAAGTTTCAAAATTAAATATAAAAACCATTAAAGCCATAAACAAAACTTCTAATAAGCTAAATTCTCCTGAACTTTAAAAATAACTTGCTAAAGTATGTTACTCGCTTGTGCAAGGTACTTTTTTTTTGCATAAAATCACAAAATAAATTATGATATAAACAGTAATCGATTTAAATTCTATAATAATACTCTTTTTATTATTAGACAAAGTCCAACTGAACACATTTTGTAAAAAGTAGTTATTGAGCTTTACTTCCCTATCTTATTCCAAGCTGAGTTATATAACTCAGTTATGTACTGAGTTATATACGTTACATGCGTAAAAATACTTATTAACTGAAAATATATGTACTATTTACATAGTAACCAAAATATATTCATATTGTTAATACTCCATATTGTAAATAAAATCGGATAATTGTACATTAATATAAGCGTAATGTGATAAATGTCTGGCCAAGTGTTTCATTCGTTTTACCAATGAGTTTTAAGTGCGTTCTTATGAATTAAATCATTGTACATTTATTTACATATTAAAATTATATAGGTACTTACATATTTTTTGCTTTGTACGTATACAATTATAACGCACTATTGTTTTACCGTCAATTTCATGAACCAAGTAATCCATAAACAATGGACTATTTTGATTAATTATTAATTAAAAAATAAAATAAAAAAAGTATATTAACTTTATTTTTAACGAAGTGAAATGACAATAATGTTGTTCTACTCGTAAATACATATGGGTGAATATATTTTATTAAAATATGGGAATCCAGTGATATATTTTCTAATATAATGTAGTAGGTTGTCGTATATTTCAAATATATTAACATCATAAGTAAGGCACATAATTTATTGTCATTTCACCATAAAGTTTATTTCGCAGTTATAAGGAAACTTTTTATTTGTATTTCGTATAAAACTATGTGTCCACTACGATAGTGCAATAAATTTTATTTCTTATTATTAAATTATTGATTTTAAATTATATGTAAAATGGGGTTCTATTTGCATTCCTGTCACATGCAAGGACATTCCATAGATTATGTTCCAGGGAATATATTGTAAGTGGTATATTAAGATACAGTGGTTATTTGTATAATATAAGTGTTGTTTTATATTTATTTACATTATACAGCTATGTAATCGATAAAAAATTATGTATAAATGATGGGTTGTTGTATGTATATACAATATATACATGTATATACAATATGTATATACAATATGTATGTACAATATAATTGAATGCGATGAAGATGTCAAAAACCTGTTTTTGTTATTCTAACTGGCATAATTAGTCAACAACTTAAGGCACGACTCTATCGAAATAAGCGCATAAAATCAATAATTAGATAGCTATATATTTAAAAATGTAATAAAAGTTTTTGTATTGATTGATTATTAGTTTTTTTTTTTTTTGTTTATTTAAATACTTTTTATAAATTCTCTTTTAATATATCTATATTAGGTTATAGCAAAAATGATAAAATTACATTTAAGTCTATTTTATATTTAATTAAATAAATTTGTGAGTTACAATTTTTTGTTTACTAATTGTGCCAACCATAGAAAACGATTAATTATTTGAATTGAAATAATTATGTTTCCCATTTTGAAATGTGAAAATTGCAACAAAAATGCGGATATTTAAAAAGTCTGGATATTTTAGTCACAAATTATTTGAGTTCTGATTTAGTTGAACTAGTTGTATATAGTTTAATAAAGATATATGACTGTTATAATACCATATATTTTATTTTTAAATATTGCAACTAATTAATCAAATATTAAAAAAAAATTCATCCATATAAAAAACTCGAAGCCCGGACAGAACGCCGAAAGGATGCTAAACCAAATTATATTTTTTTTGCGTGAATATTCTGTATAACCTTAATTATAAAATGTATTGCCAACCGATGTGCAATTGTTCTCATGGCCTATTTAAACAATGGACAATGCGCGAAAGGCATCCATTAAACGATAGATCTTGTATCAGTCAATCCAATTAGTTGTAGATAAATTATTAACGATTGTCAGAATATAGAGAAACGTGTTCATTCATCCATGCTGTATTGTCCACCCGATAATCGTCAGCCGGACAAAAATAAATGACACCTAACGCGTTATATCATAAACAATAATATACTTATTAACGACTGGCGACTAAAATATTTGAATTTGGAGAAAACCATGGCCGTTAGAGATTATTTGTTTTAAATTGTAATAAAAAAAAAAAGGATTTGTAGTTCTATCAATTCCCAATTTACTTTTTAATCTTGGCAGTAGATTCTCAATTTGAACGTTTTATAGTTATCCATAATAGTTTTTAAATCGCTTAATTTAATTTATAAACCTATACGACCTGAATGAATATTGTTCTATACAGATCAGTCCGTAATGGGTAATGAATTTATTAAATATAAGGAAATTTGATGTATATGTGTGTTCATAAGCGTTTGAGGGGTGTTCAATTCGTTCGTATGTTTGAATCTGAGAATTTTATGTGCCTACCAAATATTATATGATTAATATTAAAGAAATCAACCTGCATTGATTACTTATTAAAATGTTAAGCTGATTACCAGTTATTTTATTTCCTACACTTTATTGAAGTAATTGACTTAATATCAATCAACAATGCCAACTGAATAGATTTTTTTTTGATGGGTGAAAATGGTATGGTATCCCCGCCTGCGCTAACGGGATATGCTGGCGGAGCACCAGTGAAGGGTGATAGATGAGAATGAAAACAGGCCAGTTAGCCCATCATGATGAATTCATCAGGAATTAATCATGATAGTTTCCAGGAGGAACCGCGAGGAGGTCGACCTGGTTGGGTATATTGCTAGCAATGGGATTTTCAGTCTCCATTACTAACAATCCCTTTCCCCCCAACTAAATAGATTAAAATGTTAAAGTCGAAAGAATAGCACCTCAGTGTTCCTGATTTTAATCATTTGAGAATGCGCTTTATAATTTAACAAATTTTACTTATACACGCTTACCCTACAAAAGCTTTGGTTAACTATCGACAAAAAGTTGACATTGTTGGTTGTCTTACAAAATGCTCGATCAGTTTTTTTTTTTTAGTAAACATACTTCCAGATCAAACTTTCAATTACTAATATAAGACAAATTCCATATGGGAATTTCAAAATTAGAACCCAAAATACATGCCATCTGGTGTTGTATACGCATTTCATTTACTTATTTCATATTATCTCCCAATAAAACTATGGATTTCAGAATTGAAACCTACAGGGGATCGAGGGGGGTGCTGGCTGTTTATACGAGGTCTGTCCGGAAAGTTCGTATAAAAGTGTTCTGGAATGCGAGAAAGAGGAGTGGGGAGGCCAGGTAAGCGCAGGACCCCTTCCTTATGTCCCTAACAATGCTTCAGTTCTGGTCTGACCGCCGTGCGGTGCGAACTGGCTTGTCACGCCATCTGTGAAGTTACCTCTTAACGAAACCCCGTCGGTATGGAGCCCGCTTCCGTTGAAGAGCAGCGCGTCGTAATCAAGTTTCTCTCGAAACTCGGCAAGAATGGCCGTGAAATTGATGTCGAATTTGATGTCGAATTAAAATCCCAAAGTGGAAGACATCCGGGGATCAAGAAAATCCCGGGTCAAGACAATGTTGATTGTTTTTTTCGATGTTCGGGGGATTGTCCATCAAGAATTCGTCCCTCCAGGCCAGACAGTTGATGGAAAATTCTACGTCGATGTGCTCAGACGCCTCAAAGCTCGTGTGGCACGAGTTCGTCCAGAATTGGCGCGAGAGGGGCGTTGGATTCTTCACCACGACAATGCCCCTGCCCACACCTCTCTTGTTGTCCGTGAGTTTTTGAGTAAAAATTCCATTACGGTGACCGAACACCCCCCCTATTCGCCGGATTTGGCCCCGTGTGACTTCTTCTTGTTCCCAAAAACCAAATTGGTACTTCGGGGGCGGCATTTGGGGGACATAAATGAGATAAAAAAAGCTACGACGGGGCAGCTGAGAAACCTACAACCAGAGGACTTTCAAGGAGCCTTCTCACAGTGGAAACGGCGTTGGCACAAGTGCATTATGTCACAGGGGGAGTACTTTGAAGGGGATAAAATTGATTTACCTGAATAATTGTAAAATAAAATTTTTAAAAAACTTTTATACGTACTTTCCGGACAAACCTCGTAATGCAGACTCCCAGACCCATTGCTAGCAAATATACCCTGTCAGGTCGACCTCCGCGTTGTCCCCCTGGGTACCATCACGGTAAATTCCGGGTGTATTCATCATGATGGCCTACTTGACTTACCTTTTCATCCTCACCTATCATCACTCACTGGTGCCCCGCCAGCAATACCCTTAACGCAGGCGGGGTTACCATTCCATTATCATCCATAATAAAATATGAGGTAAATAATTTAATAATAATAAAAGTTCATATATATATTTAATCACATTTTAATCATAGTTTACATTATATGGTTCATATAACATTAATATTATAGCTTAACATTACTTTTTGCCTACAAATGTGAAAAATTAAATAATTTAGATCATTAATAGTAATTATTATTCAAAGTATCACAAATATCGGATAGAGTAACACTGCTCTGAAAGCGAAGCATCTATCGTAGTTCGCACTGCCGACTGCGGCGGCCTTATATTACAAAATTAATGTGTACCAATAAGCTTTTAACCAAATGGGGATTTGTAAGAAGAGAGCATATGTCTTTTGAAAAGGCCGGCAATATCTCTGGTGCTAGTAGGTTGCGGTGACAGCTTACAGCTTATTTTGCTACTCAGATGAGCAGCAAACCTCTTCATTTCCCGTGCGTCGTAAGAGGCGACTAAGGGAACTTAACCCTTAAATACCTGAAGTTTCAAATTTGATACCGGGGTTATAAATCGCATTGGGCGCCTACAATTGATTTTATTATAATATTTGGCTGTTTACATGTGACCAAATATTTTTTTCAAAATAAATATATAAAAATATCGTTTTGATTTTTTTACTATTTTTCCCCATTAGTAAACACAGTAAAGAGTACACTTTTTAATACACTTTTTTTAATTTGATTTAAAAAATCAGGCTTTTAAGGGATGGACAGAAGCGTCCCTCTAAAAACATCACCAGAACGTAACTGCGGTTGCCAATCCGCCTGATAAGCGTGGCAACTACTGGCAAAGCCCCCCAATAGGGGGAGGCCTATATTCAGCAGTGGACAGTTAACGGCTGACATAGTGATATGCATCAAAACAATGACCTCGAACTCGCATTAAAAAAATCAACGACAAAAATGTCGCTCATAATATGAAACGAAATTAAAAAGAAGAGACATTATATAGAGGAAGACTTTGTACAGTCTCCCTTAATCTACTTAAGTATCTCTGCCTCGCCTATTCCATCGCTAAGCAGTGCACGCTGTGTTCTGGTTTGAAGACAATGATATAGCAGTAGGTATAGAGTAATGCGAGTCCAGATACTTAATAAGAGTTGGCAATATGCAAGTGACGTCTCTGGGTTTCTAAAAGTTCTGCGGTGGGCGTTTATCATCAAGCGTAATCTTTGCCTAATTATATAAACGCAGTAATGACGCACGAAAGTCATACGAACTCGTTAACTTTGGCTTCAAATAGATTACAATATTACAATCTCTATTTAGTTATAAGCTTCTTGGTTTACACGTGGGACCATCTGCTGTGGAACTGCTGAGTGGTTTAAGAAATTGGGTGTAAATTTCTTTTAAGAAAAACTGATTTGTTTTCAGTTTAGAATTTGATTTAATTAGAATAATATGTTTCGAGTAAATTAAGTATTACGTTCATAACATACCATCGACTAACACGTCTGGAATTACAGTCATGAGTATTATCATCCATTTCATTTATAAAATAAAAACTATTTATAATTGATCTTCAGACAACTAAATACTGTTCTTTTTTTTTTTTTTTAATAATTATTGGACTGTTAAACTTATTTAACTATACTCCCATGAATTGAGATCAAACAGACATAAAAATCGACTTATTCCATAAACTACTCATATAACAGATGGTCCCGTGACCCGTATTCCCAGCAACGAAACGTAACAAAAGAAAAAAAAAAATCTTTCAGACCATGATTCATTAAAAAATTTGCAGACCATGATCTAATTTTAGCTTATAATGAAGTCATAAACCAATACTAGCGTTTCACGAACCAATCACTGCAGACCTAAACCATCGCAGCGGTTATGAATTTAAAACAATTCATCTTCACCAAACCGTACTGTTAGTACATCAATCATGGGGCACCATGAACAAATCGTAGCAGTTCATGGGCCAATTATCACTGACAACGAGGGCGTGGCCTCGCAGTGATCGGCCGTTTGGTTTTGTTAGATTTTGTTGCTATGGACACGTTTTTATTTACAACACCTCGCACTAATATTCGATGACACGTTACGAATAGCACAATAATACAATCAAATCTGTAATCTGAATCATCTATGGACACCCCTTAACAATTTATCGCTTCGCGGACTAGTCACCCATGCTTCCCACTAGTAGATCCAAGAGGATTTACTGAGTCCTCAGGAATGGCAACGCATAGGGGGTATCATGGGCGAAACAGTATACTCTGTTATCCATGTATCTATGAAAACAATTACACTATCCATCATTATAGGAACATATATTTATAAAAAAAATCTCTGTCTATATATATAAATATATAAATATATATATATATACAACCAAATATATATTATATACATATATAAAAGAAAACTAAGAAAATATTATACTTTGGGTACTAGAAAACTAACAAATACAGATATCAGACATATAGATAACGACTAAATTGGATTGTTCAGTTATTTATTTAAAAGAAAAAAAAAAAAAGAATTTTTAGTTGACTATGACATATAAAAAGGTTATACTATTAAAGTAATATAAGAAGTGAGTATTTCTTCAATACTCAAAATCCTCTTGGATCTACTATAAGAACAATACATCATGGACAGCAGACCGGAGCGATTTATTTCATATTTCAAATAATGATTGGCACATATATCGGTGCGACTGAACTATACCCTGGGACCGAATAAGGGGACGGCAGACTTCGGTCTTCTACCACAGACAGGAATCTAATTGGAAAACGCACAAAACTGCACGGACGCACTATCGTACGGAGCGACGTCCGTAGCTGACAAACTGTCCTGTCGCGTTCAACCGTTAACAATAGAGAGTGAATGTAAACAATATTAGCTTACTATCTTAGAATGGAGAAGATATATGTATTTTTGTAACTATAACAATAGCGAATTATCGTTCTCGAAAAGAGCGCTATCGAGCACTAATTGTGAGCGTATTTCGAGCGAAGCGATCTTTTAAAACGTTCGCTGCGTGCACTTAGCTTTATATGAGTACGCAATTTATTCGCAACGAACTGCTCGATCCACGTTTCAGTGGAAACGTATAATTACAAACGCGAGTCTGCAACGTAACGTTTGCGGTGCAACGTCGCGACAAATCCATCTACCGCTAAAAACACGCTCGCACAGTGCGATCAATGTAAGGAGACTTGCGATTCGACTCGAACGAGAACGCGTTTACAATTACTCTCTATTAGGTTGAGCGGCCTACGATGGGAGGCGGCGGTCGCTTACGTCTCGTCGTTACGAGACGTCGCGGTCCGCAGCGGTGCAGGGCCCGGGGCAGGGGCCGGGGCAGGGCCCGGTCTCGCAAGCGGCGGTGAGCAGGGCCGGCGCGGGCGCGGCGGGCGCGGCGGGCGGCGCGGGGGGCCCCGCCCCGCCCGCCTCCGCGTCCGGCGGCGGCGGCGCGGGCGACCCGTACAGGAAGAGGCTGCGCAGCCGCGCCGACCGGGACGACGTCGACGGCAGCTCGTCGGGCCAGCTGGCGGCGCTCGCGGTGTCGGACGCGGCCAGGTCGGCTACGTCGGCGGTCACTTCGAGGCGGTGCGCGGCGGGCGATGCCGCCTCGTGTCCGCCAAGTGAACCAGCCAGCGCTGCTAGTGACGGCGCGCGTACCTCCGCTTGAGCAGATCCCGCCGACAGCGACGCGTCGCCTGTAAAGTATCAACATTTATTATTAAATCATTATATATAATCATATATTATAGTGTAATGATATAATCGTATGGGTTACCAATTTCTTTCCTGTGGGTGTTGTAAGACGCGACAAATGGAACTTAATGGCCGAGGAATGGACAGCAGTATCTCTTTAAACGTCACCAAAGCCTAACCACTGTTGCCTATCCAGTTACCAAGCGTTACAACTATTAGCAAAACCCTTCTTTGTGGGGGAAAACCAATGTTTAGCAGGAGGAAAGGGATTGTTAGTAATGGGGTCTAATAGCCCCATTACTGGCAATATACCCTCTCAGGTTGACCTCCACGTGGTTCCCCCTGGAAACCATCATGTTTAATTCTTGTCGAATTCATCATGGTGGGCCAACTAACCTGCATTCATTCTTACCTATCATCTTCCATTGGTGCCTCGTCGGTGTATACCAATAGCGCGGGCGGGGTCACCAATCCATTTTCGCCAATTAAAAAAATTACCTATGTTTAACAGTAGACAGTTGATATGATGATGATAATGAATCATATAATTAGATTAATAGCCGATAAAATATGTTGATGGCGCTGGAGGACAAAACAACATATGCCAAGCCACTTATTTTAAATATGAGTAATTCGTACCTATGCTAGGCTCGAGCCGCCTGGACGCGGCGTCGGTGTCGAGCGCGTGGTCGCGGTCGTCGTCGAAGGACGGCGCGGAGGGTCGCGGCGCGGCGCCGGCGCAGCCACCGGCGCGGCACAGCGACACCGGCACCACGCCGTACACGTAGAACAGCAGGATCGGCACGCCGATGCCCACCGCCAGCCCCGCCACCAGCGGGGACACTATCAGCTGTAACAATACAATTATATCATTAAAAATTATTAAATATACAAATAAAGTTTCAACTCAATTCACTTATTATCATTGAATTGGACACAGTATTTTTTAAAATAAAGAAGATTAATAAAGATGTTTCTTAAGAAACAGTGTGATTAGAGAGAAGTGTGGACTGAAAGACGATGTAGTGACAAAAATCGAAAAAGGAATGTTGCGTTGGTTTGGTCATTTGGAGAGGATGGATGAAAGATTCATTCATCCATCCTCTCTAAATGGAGATGTTGGTAGGGGCCGCCCTAGACGGACGTATGTTGACCAAATAGGCGACGTACTAAAGAAGGGCCAAATTAAAAGTACCCCCGTAACTGGCGACCGTGTATGAAAAGATTGATGAATGTGGAAGAAGCGAAAGAGGTTTGTTTGAATCGAAGCATCTGGCGTTCCATTGTTTCTGCTTACCCTAATGGGAGACAGGCGTGACAGATATGTATGTATGTAATAAAGATGATATAACACTGAGTAATTGGATGGCTGTGAATGTGAACCAGCAGAACCAGGCGGGGCGGGTAGATACAGTACGTATTCAGGTGGTAGACGGGGGCTGTACTCACAATGGCGGTGGCCAGCAAAGGTATTAATCAAGGCGAGGATATTAGGAGTAGCCAAAGAGACGATGGACGGGGGTCATACTAGTTTTGGCGTAAACAGTGGCACCGCTAATTACGGTGGTGTACGAAGGCATACTCACCGCGGCGGCAACGGCGGCGGCGACGGCGAGACGGCGGCGAGCGGGCCGCGCGCGCCGCAAGCGGCGGTGGGCGCGGCGGCCGGCCCACAGCGGCAGCCCCACGAGCAGCGCCGGCAGCGCCACGCCCGCAACCACGGCGATGCCGAGCGGCGCGCCCGCCAGCGTGCCCAGCTGCCATAGCAACTTCTTCTTACGAGACCACGGCTTCTTGCCCCAGAACGTGCACCCGCTGGGGCTGTAGCGAGTGGGAATTTATTTATATTTTTTTTAATATATAACTTTAGATTAATATATTATAAATATACAAATAAAAATGCATAATGTTTACACAGTTTTATTCAAACAAACATGAAAGACCTGTATGATCCTTCAAGCCGGATAGAGATTGCTTTTAGCGATAAGGCCGCTTTTTGTATATGCACATTTTGTACTCTTTGTATAAATCTCTTTAATGCGCAATAAAGATTATTATTGTTATTATAACAACTATAAACACCGCTATACTACTGTTATTATCGTATGTAATAATAAAATAAAGTGGTTAAATGTCACATTATAAAAATGTCTTTTTAAACCATTACTAGTTGTAGTTATTTGTTGACGATAGTTAGGTACTCTCAACACTGGCTACTACATAGGTCATTATCAGTTTTTACACTGTTTAAGGTATAGGTATATAATTATGCAAACAAACAGACAAACAAATTATTTAATACACACATAAAGAAATAAGAGCAAGCAGACTAGTCATGTGTGAACCACAGCGACAAAAGTTGGTCATATACGACTCAATGTCGATTGCTTTGGCATCAAAAGATCAAAGTGTTGATTTTCCAGCTCACCTAAGATAGTGTAAATCGGAGACTTCCTTCATGCAGAGCCAGCAGAACTCTGCGCCGCACACGCAGCACACCATATGGTTGCACGAGCCGTCCTCCACTTTCACGATGAGAACGGAACATCGTGGACACGGCTTCACTTCACCTGCCACAAACAAAATATTTATAAATGTCAAATACGATACAATAGACCATATAATACTAGGAGTTACTGTTCTTTATCAGCGGCGACGTCTGAGTAATCATAAATAAAGTGATTAACTTCCTAGTTATCCCATTGACCTATTTTATCCTTAAAATGGGCCAATGTGCTAAGGGTAGGGTCGGACTAGGCCGGAAGGGCCCAAGTGGCTGACCACAAGCCCAGGGCTCGAGACTAGATGATGGTAGTTGGTAGCGGCAAAGTAAGCCTCGCAAGCCAGGCTCACGGGAGCCCACACAGGCTGAGGACCAGCTGATAAATGCCACCTCGACTATATGGCCAGTCCGACGCTGACTAAGGGTGGGTTATATATAGCAATATTTATATATTGTAGTTACAATATCGTATATCACAATGGGCGGTCATCGTTATCCAGAAATACCCAATATATAGATTTCGGATATTAGCTCTATCTCTACTATGTGCTTCTCCAATCAAAATAGTACATGTATACCAAATTTCGTGACGTTCGGTTAAACCATTGAAGAGCCATGAGGTTAGAAAACAAACTTACCCATTCATAAATACCTTACTAATATAACTGTAAGTAGATGGTGCCTGTACATGGAAGACATAAGTCAAATTATTATGACTAGTCTTAATAAGACCAATAAATGCTAAAATAATATTTTTTAGATATTTTGTCTCTCTGTCCGTATGTTTGTTCCGGCACCATGCATAAGAAATTGTACCAAATTAGATGTAGTTGTGTGCCTAAAAGTTTAACGTAAAATCTGTGAAATGAAATTCCGAAATTTCGGAATCAATTTCGTGTTTTTGTTTATACCAAAATTGGACCAATAAATGGAGTTTAACATTTTCTTGCTTCTAAAATGCACGTGTACGAAGCAGAAAGCATAAAAATACTAAATATAAAGAGCTGTCATGTTTTCTGATCCACTTAGATACAAATTTAACATGGCACATCTAAGCTTGGGCAATTGTCCATTATTAAAGTTCCCATAATAGACTTCACAATGAATACTCAGCGTGTTATGAGAATACCATGCAATAGATGGACTATATGATAACATTACAGCGCGATCCAATTTACTTGTGGGATTATTTCTTATTTGGCTTACATTGTAGACTTGGTCGTCGGTTAGGCATCTAAATCAAATAACGTGTAACTAGATATAATAAGCGATAACAATTTTAATTAAAATATTATTAAAATGTAAAAATTATATTCCAATAATTATTAAGTGTTTAAATTTTGAATTTCGAAAATTCGAGATTTTAAATGATAAAAAAAAAATTAAAAAATACTAAATAAACTTTTTAAATATTCGCAGATATTCCAGTTTTTTTTTTTTTTTTTTGTTAAGGAGACCTAGGAGTGTTGAAATAATTCAAACTACGGAAGCAATTGTTAGTTCTATATCCTAGACAACTACATTACTTAAAATATATAGATGGAGGATAGAGTCTCAAAAACAGGTCAACCATCCGATAAATTTTTAATGAATTTGTCAAGATGGGCCAATTGACCTGCTTTCATCTTCATCTATCATCATCTGTCACTGGTGCCCTAGCAGGGTATATTAATAACGCATGCTGCCCATTTATCATCCAGTAAAAAAGGCATCCCCCCGCCCGCCACTTTATACCAATAGTACAAATGGAATAAGTAACAATTATTTAAAAAAAAAAAGGACATACCATGGTCGAGGTCCGCGTGCGAGGGTTGCGGCGCCCTCGGCGGCGGCTGGCGGCTGCGGCGGGCCGCGTCGCAGGTCTGCGTGGGGTGCCACGCCGCCTTGCAGTGGTAACAGAACGACGCGCCGCACCCGGGCGCTAGGCACGTCAGTTTCGGGCACGACGCGCACCCCGTTGCCACTACCGCGAAGCTGCCACCGTCACATACTTGCATTAATACATTAAAGGCGGGAGTCGTAGTATTAAGATTTATCTCAACAGTTTTTTTTTATAAATAAATATTAATCAAAATATATATAATAAAAATTCTGGGCTATTTTATACGACACGACGATTTTTTTTTAGATGGAAAAATAGAAGGCAAAATGGGAAGGGAAGACCGAGGAATAACTACATGGGACAGATAAAAGAAACACTAGGTGTCATGTCGTATTGGGAGGTCAAGGATATGGCCTGGGATAGAGCTGCCTGGAGGAAGATGGATGAATTAATTGCACCGACAAGAGGAAACTCTTAAATAAAAAAAAGGCTTATTAGATAAAGTGTCTCTAGTTTCCTATTTCAAGTCCTACAAAAATAGCAACGGTATAGGTGTATGTACCTGCAATCCGGCGCAGGACACCACCTGGTGTCAGGATCTGCGGCGAGGGCGCGTCTCACTGAGAACTCTTCATATTTGTCGTACAAAACAGGGTTATCCACGATGCGGCGGACATCTGCAATGAGTATTTTAGTTATAAAAACATATGTTTTACCATATAGTTCATTACGAGTGACTACTATTTACTATTAACTTTTTAAACTATGTAGTATATAAGCGAGTAATAAAGTTATTTTTATTTTTCCCTCCAAACGTTTACAATAGTAATCTTATTATAAATATAAACTATTACAAGAAAATAATTACACTGAAAAAACAATGAGCGGCCTTATCGTTAAGAACAATCTCTTCCAGGCAACGTCTGGATGTAGAAGAATAATTATAAACAGTTTGACCGAAGATAAGAAAGTCTGTTTGTTTTTGAAGTACATATAGAGATGTATTACTTACAATAATGTAAATATATAAATATAAATTTTAACTTATTAATACACACTTAAAATAAATTCATATATACATATAAATACATATTCATACACATACATATGTAGTTATAAAAAAAAGAATGTGAGTATGCTAATCAGTAACAAATTACAAATATGACAACTTGAACAGATATAAGTCCTTTTGTTTTAAAACTAGGTAGGTATTGCATACTTTGTATAGAGGTTAGTAGACTATTCCATAATTGAACAGCTTGCACAGTAAATGATTTGTCACAAAAAACTTCTAAAATATACTGGTGTCTTCAACTGGAGACTCTCAGACGAATTTAAGAGAATTAACGGTATGGAAGAAGTCAAACTGCTCCTTTTTTTCAATGGATGATAATGGAATGGTAACCCCGCCTGCGCTATCGGTATACGATGGCGGGGTACCAGTGAGGGATGATAGGTGAGATGAAAGGGCAGGTCACTTAGCCCGTCGTGATGAATACACCTGCAATTCAGGGGGAACCACGTGGAGGTCGGAGGACCTGATAGGGTATATTAGGTAGCAAGAAGAAGAAATAAAAAGGAAGACAAAGGGAGACTTTGTACAAAAGTCGATTACTTGAGTACCTCTGTCCCATTCGTGTTTCAACCGTGAAGCAGTTGTGTTTGCATGGCTGTGTTTCGGTTTGAAGGGTGGGATATGGCGTGAATTTATTATACCCAGTATAGAGGAATAACACCTGAGTCCTTAGGAATGGCAACGCATGGGGGGTATAATGGGCGAAACAGTATACTCTGTTATGTCCATGGTATTGCTCATGTCTATAGGCGACGGTTACCACTTTCCATCAGGTGGGCCGTTAGCTTGTTTGACATTCTAAATTGTATAAAAAAAAAGTGGAGTAGTGAAAGAAAATATATAAATAAAATATAGCAAAGGTGGTAAGATGGGCCACCCGTTCGAAAGCGGTATCCGATATCTATGCACATAAAAGTCACCATGGACTTCATGAAATACATAATGACAACTTTGGTAACCTCATACATTGCCATTCCTGAGGACTATAGTAATATGAATCTGTAACTCTATAATTTGTCTAGCTTTCAAACCTGAAACAATCATGCAAACGCATCTGCTTCGCAGTAGAAATAAAAGTAGGACAGCTAATAATGCAGACGACCTTTGAACAAAGTTTTCCTCTGTTCCACTTAGATTTGCTGATTTAAAAAAAAAAAGTATATATTTACAAGAAAATCAACAACTAGGAATTAAATACTTCAAATATTCGAACATAATTGTAATGTAAGCAAACAAGTATCCATGATTCACATGTTTACTGCACGCGTTTCGTGTCATTTCTGTATAATTGTTACGAAACACCTTTTGTTGAACGTGAATATTACCTGATTTATTGATGTTACAAATTATTTTACAAACGAGGAAAATTATTTGTCTTCCAAATTGTAATCTGATATTTAAGCTCATCAAAAATACGGACTCATACAGAGTAATTATATATAAACAGAGAATTTAATACTGTTTTTTTATCTTTTTTTTATTTAGAGACTTTTATGTATGATATGTTAGCCTCATCATACCCTAACCTTAAAAAATACCTCACATACTTAAAACATTAATACATAAATAAATATTACATAATATCTGGGGGAAAGGGATTATTAGCAATGGAGTTTGACAGCCCCACTGCTAGCAATATGCCCTATTAGGTCGACCTCTACGTGGTTCCCCCTGGAAAGCATTATGATTAATTTATTGTTAGATTCGTCATGGTGGGCTAACTGATCTGCTTCATCCTGACCTATCATGCCTCACTGGTGCCCCGCCATTGTATACCGATAGCGCAGGCGCGGTTACCATTCAATTATCACCCATAAAACAAAAATACATAATATCTTATTAGTCTATTTTAATAAAGGGAATTATTAATACAAACATAGAGAGTAATTAAGATTTTGCTATTCTGGAACGTGGATCTGCGAGTATAATTGAAAATAAACCAATCTCCTGTCTATTGAGCCTATAATTCTGTATCAATACTTCCCTTTGTGTTTTGTATTTCGTACATTTAGTACTACTTATAGCTTTGTGCTATAAGTAGTACTAAATGGTTTTGCTTGTCGTATGAATTATAAAAGTATCATACATATGTAATACAGGTATTCTTATACCTATCTCAGGCACCAGTCTCTCACAATTATATTTATAATTTGATTAATATAAGCATTGTATTTCACTGTAATGAATTGTGAAGAGAAATAAATCTGTTTTATTATATACATCACGCCTGTTTTCTATTAGGATAGGCAGAGATAATAGAACGCCAAATACTTCAAACACATCTCATTCTCTTCATATACATACCATTACAGGATAATTACAGGAATTTACAGGGTACAGAGGAATAACACGTGAGTCCGTAGGAATGGCAACGCATGGGGGGTATCATGGGTGAAACAGTATACTCTATTATGTCCATAATACTGCTCATTTCTATAGGCGACGGTTACCACTTTCCATCAGGTGGGTCGTCAGCTTATTTACCATTTAAAGTTGAATAAAAAAAACATCAATGTTGTTCAAAGTGGAAGTCGCGACCCATGGCAATTGAGGGTCTCGGCAGTTATCCAAGGGATCGCGAGTTAAACGCAATATTTAGAGGCTCTTGAGTTCTTCTTGATTAGTCAATATAATATATAATCTTAAAAATATCATAATTATGACATATCTATCAAAAAAATATATTAAGTATATAATAGAAGCTCTGAAGAAGTATAGATTTTGCGATATAAATTTGATTACATTTCTAGATGCAGAAAAAAGAGAGAATTTTCCGTCATCGTATTCTTTAGCGATTAAATTATAAAGAGATTTCAATTTATCTCAAAATTAATACATAAGCAGTTGCAATTTTTTTTCTTACAAGTATATAATACTTTTCCTTTAATACTAGTAAACAGTATATAAGATGATATTTACCTGAAGGATGCATATTCTCATGGCATACTGGGCAGTTTACTGGTACTCTCGCCTCGAATATCTCTATAGCTAGGTACTGTCGGAGGCATGGCTCGCAGCAGCGGTGGGAGCACCACGCCAGCCGCACCATGCCACTCGTGTTCATCATTGATAGACATAACGGACATTCTATGACTTCCCCCTGGAAATAAAGAATACAAGACATTTAGAATTTTTTAGACTTACTGCTGTTCTTGAAACTAATAAATTGAAATTAAAATAAAATATATGTGACGCGAGTGATGTTGTATGAAAGTCATTAATTTGTAGTACATTAGTTAGTATAAATTCAAGTCATTAAATATCTAATAGTAAACTTCGATAATCATTATAATGACTCAGTGCATTAAGTAATGATTTCCATTACAATGAATTATTATAAAGTGACTAAATTCTAAATCTTTGGCATTCTATAAATTTCTTAAACAAACAGGGCTTAAAAAATAATTTGAGCCACCCATATTAAATTAAAACGAGAACGCGCCATGATAGTATGCGACGCGATTTTTTTTTTGCTGTTTTCGGATCCATTTGTTTTTTGGTAAAAATTATTATAAACGATTCTAGGTAATAACAAAAAACAATGACCTACTAATATTTTCACGTTTTGTCTTCAGTTTTAATATGAATATAATAATGATTGTTTTAACAAAGTTAAAAAAAGTACGGCTACAACTAGCATAACTAGATACGTACTCTATGACTCGAGTCTTGAAACTTAAAAAATTATTGTTTTGTTGTGTAACATAAAAAAAAACCGGTCAAGTGCGAGTTGGACTCGCGCAACGAGGCTTCCATACAAAATCATCACGTTGTTAAATTTCATTTTTGTGAAATAACTACAAATTTCCAATTTTAGAATTTTTTTTTCCATTACTTGTGCTTTATGACATTGCTTCTTGCCAAATTTCAAGATTCTACGTCAACGGGAAGTACGTGATTCGCAAATGTCAAAACATGCGATAAAAATGTAACATAAATGGCCGTATCTTTTAATTGCGTCAATTTAGAAGCTTGATTTTTTCACTGCTTTAAGAGATTGCAGATCTGAGTATATGATATTAATTTCAACTTGATACTTCCACGCGTTTCTACTCGTAAGAAAGAGGATCTAGACAACAGACAGGCGGACGTACAGACACCGAAGTGATTCTATAAGGGATCCGTTTTTTTTAACCTAACCTAATTAAAAATGCTGCAACGTACAAACGCTATTTCATTTCACCTGTCTTTTTTCCAATTTAACGCCGGAAGAAATTGTGAAACTGATGTACCTACATATTTGTTAGATACATTATTTACATTCGTACAATACCAGTATATCGGGGGAAAGGGATTGTTACTAATGTAGACTGAGAATCCCATTGCTAGCAATATACCCAACCAGGTCGACCACCTCGTGGTTCCCCCTGGAAACTATCATGGTTAATTCCTGATGAATTCGTCATGATGGGCTAACAGGCCTGTTTTCATTCTCATCTATCACCCTTCACTGGTGCACCGCCAGCGTATCCTGTTAGCGCAGGCGGCGTTACCATACCATTTTCACTAATCAAAAAAAAAAATATCAGTATGTCAATTAACGTAATCATTAGTTACATAGTGTGTGCGAGTTAACGCACGGCGGGCAAACGAATTAGATCGAATCGATTGTTGCAGCCACGCATCGCGAATCGAAACATTTTCGTAACGAGAACAAATTCATAGGCTTGTTGTGATTGCGATAAATAATGAGTGACGTGACAATTTAAGTAATTTTTCCTATTTAAAATCGATTGATTAGCTAAAGAGTAGTAGGTACTTACGACTGTTTTTTTTTTTATACGACTGGAAATGGCAATCAATCTAGCAGTTCAACTGGTGACATTAACAAAATCACTATTAAGTAATGTATGACGTAATCATTTTTTTTTTAATTTAATAACTACCGATTTAACTTACGTGTAATTACATCGAATACAGTTCGTACTAGTTTCGGAATCAATTCGTGATTCTTAGTCATGAGTGATTGTGACGTGACCTAAAGCTAGTCGAGTTTTTTTTTTCGATCTAATTACACGTAAGTTAATTCGGTAGTTATTAAATTAAAATGTAATGTGTGCTTATGAATCTATAAAATTATCATTAGAAATCGTCAGTATTAGTCATATTTATATATTACATTACTGACCATAGCAGGGGGAAGGAATTGTTAGTAATGGAAAGCTAACCCCTATTGCTATCAATATATATCAGGTCGACCTCCACGCGGTTCCCCCTGGAAACCATCGTGACTAATTAATCGTTAAATTCGCCACGATGGGCTAACTGACCTACATTTTATCCTCAACAATCATCCCTCACTGGCGTCTCGCCAGTGTATACCGATGGCGCGGGCGAAGTTTTCATTTTATTGTCATCCATTAAAAAATTGACCATAGCATATGCACAGGTTTCCATTACCACTCGTGAATACTGAAGGTACCTTTTGCTTTCATCTTTTGCTCGTGAAATAGCATTATTATCTTTAAAACAGTTTCTGTACACAGCGAGAAGACAAAATACAATTACTTCGAAGCCAAATTATAATTTTCTTAAGCTGATTTACACAAAACTGATTCCTGCCATACTCATTCACAAACCGAACAATCTCTATTGGTCGTTTTACAAATTTCACACCAAATTTAATCGAAGGAAAACAAGAGATATCATTTCAAATTATCAATTTCGTGCCTCATATAACTCACTTTTAATACGTATGTACTTCTATGAATAACTTAACATGAACGTTTATTCTGATATAAAAAAAAATATTAAAAAAAAATTTATAATGGGATAAATGAAATATGGACATGTTTTCAAATTTTTATCCGTCTGATTAAACATTTTTTAAATACACAATCGGTACTTGACGCGATGTAAAATGTGGGCAATAAAGAAGCAGAAGTAGATGGAGACACATTGCGAGGACCTCAATCGCGAAGGAGAGCCTCATCGACGATCCACTATCATTATAAAAACCATGACCACTCTGTCAAGACTGTACGACTGAAGAGAGAGATAAAGAAGCACGTATGTAGGTGATATTTACCTGTAAAAGCTTTTACATCGCGTTAAGTCTCGATTGTGAATTTAAAATATGTGTAAACAAGGCGAAAGTTTAAAATTGATTAAACATTTTTGACTGCTTAATATGGTAGTAGCTATATCATCGATAGCTTTAATTAGAATAAGTATGTGTTAAATTACCTAAAAATATGAAACTCAGGTTATGGAATGAGCTCCCTGCCGAGATTTTCCCAAGAAACATGAGGTTCTTCAAAGGGGAGTAAAGAGGTTTCTTCAGGGTCGGCAACGCACGCGTAATACCTCTGGTATTGCAGGCGTTCATAGGCTACGGTAACCGCTTACGATCAGGTAGTTCGTATGCTTGTTTGCCACCTCAGTGGTTAAAAAAAAACTATATTTCATTCTACTACTATACTTGGAATATTACATTTTATTCAACCTTTTGAGCGTGGTTGAGTAACAATCATGTAAACATCCAAACATCTTGATAAACTTTCGCATTCATTCAGTAGAAAGAAAGTACTCGTACGATTAGATGCAATTTCTGACCCTCAAAAGTGGTTTGTAATTTCGTACAAATATTAAGCAAATTTTATTAAATTGTAAATTAATAATGTTGAAGATGTTAGTCGCTTTAGAGATGTTCACATTTTATATTGACCCGAAGACGAACAAACTCCGACAAAACCTCATTCCGGTAATTTGCTGATCCAATTACACTACAAATATCTTTAATTTAAAGAACTGCGGGTCTACCATTAGATGAAATTCCGAAATTTCGGACCCAATTTCGTGTTTTTGTTTATACCAAAATCGGACCAATAAATGGAGTTTAACATTTCGTTCATCATACATCTTATCATAAAAGTCCAAAGGAATAATATTTTAACATTTTTAATATTTTCCAACTCCATGTATTATGTAATTTTGACATCAAATTTGTGTTTCGTTTGGCTCCGAAATTTCGGAAAACATTTCATGGTAGGCCCTCAGAACTAAATTATTTTCATTGTGTCGTATTATCTATCTTACTAGTTACAAGGACTAGCAAACATTCTATTTATAACTACGGGCCTGGCCCAGTCAAATTTACGAATAAATTGTTCTGTATAGCCAATGAAATTGGTCTGCAGCGCTTAGAATTCAGAGCGGGATAATTTGCAATTTATAAACATAGTTTCAGAAACTGCGGTAACTAGTTTTCGGTGTCACATAAAAAAAAACGACTATTTATGAGTTGATAAAGAATATAAAGTGTATAAGAATTGTGTATAATGATTTTAAGCGATTATTTAATTAAGACAAGTCTCCCCCACCTACATAAAAGTCCGATATTAATGTTTTGCCAAAGCAACTTGGTAGAGGAATTAAATTCGAGATTTTTCTAACGCTAGCGGATCCTTCATTCCCTTCTTACGACAGTCTGGGGAATACTGCAGAGATGAAAAGGTTTACTGACTTGTAATACGAGCGTGTGCTTATTCGATAACGACAGCACCGCGACATCGTTTTAGCATTATACATTTCCAAAACATGCATACATATCTGAATTCAATGATTCACCCAAGCGTGCTAAGAGCTGTGTGTTGTCATGTCACTCTTGTTACACAGAAATTCTCGTGTGCACATCATCCATTATGTATTCAGGCGTATGTTTGTTTAAAATAATTAGTTTATCAATGTACATATTTGTCATGTAAACAACTTTAATGTCACAAAATAAATAAACTTTGGTGCGCCCGTCAACTGAGATGCATAAACAGAATTGAATCTGTGAATTCTATCAAATTAAAGAACCTTTGTCGGTGTACCCTGGTTCATAAGATGCAAGATATCGGAACATTAAGATATCGGATATTATTCCCAACCTTCGGAATATGTTATCGCAACTTATTTAGAATTCCATAACATCTTGTAAGGAGCCACAGCTGTCGAGATACAGTTTGGCAATTTAACATTAGAAGTAGGAGTTGTCGCTTGCGAAAAATATTTTATTTTTAGTAGCTGTATCCCGCGTCTTCGCTCGCGTGAATCAGTAGACAAAGTAGCTTATTTGCTAAGATATCTTAGTTATATAACTCACTTATGTAGCAA